AAATTAATGAAAATAACTTGAAAACTTTGAGTTTTAACGATATAAACAAAATAAAAGGTAAAGTAAATAGTATCAAGATTGATTTTTTAGTGTAAAAATATAATTTTTTTTATAAAATAAACTGTACTATAGATTTTTTGTTAAAACTTCATTTTTGAAATTTGAATGAACTAAACATTGATTGAGGTTGTTGTACACTTGCATCATTTTGCTCATGACAATTTCCATAATTTGTTTAGAATATCATTTTGCAAAAAGGCGAACAAGTTCACTGTGTTAAGGACAATAGTCTTCACTCACTCTTTAGGCAAACTCACAGCTGAAACTAAACATACTGAATGGAGCTTTAAATTTACCGTAAAACCAGTGCGATTGTTAATATTTTGGTGGTTCTTAGAGATAACTCTCAATACACAACATAAGCCAAATTTGGACCTTCCTTTAACTAAATTGGAATGATCTATAAAAACAACTATTTGACCCAAACAGCGCAATAATTTCAGTTTAGCAAATTTGTTGCTTCCAAATCATAATTTTAAACCATAAGAAAACTCCTTTCCATAACTAATTGCAACCTGCATAACTCAGTGGTAGGTTTGTTAACTCAATGGTAGCTTGATTGCAAAAGCTACCACATTTTCTTGCTAGTTTAGGTTTACCTTAGTTAGTGAAAAAGGCAGAAAGATGCGTATAAAATCACTAGCCAATGGAATGTATGATATAACTTTTTAGTTTGATTGTAAAAAAATCATATTTTATGCGAAAAGATAGTGCTATTCATATCTTTATTTTTACCTTCTACATATTTTTATTAATTTTTTATAATCTATCTTCTTTAATTTATTTAATTTATTAAAAATTAAAAAAGATAGACGAGAAGCAAAAATAAATTTATTGAAAACTAAGAGGGATTTGTGATCGAAATCATGATGGAAGATAAAGTGATAAGATGAGATAGGGTTGAATAGTCACCAGCACTAAGCCTTGACAAAAATCCATGGAAGACCAATACATGTTGGGAACAGATCCCCTCCCGAGGAGCTTAAGAGGCCGAATCTCCTGAGCAAATCATATGAATTATTAGATTTTAATTCAATAGTTACAAAAAAAAAAAATTCTAAAAATTATAATAATTATAATCATTGAATCAAAATTTAACATGTATAATTTGTTCAAAAGGTTCAACCCCCTAAATTCAGGAGGAGATCTGTTCCATATACGTTTGACTAATCAAAACAATTTCAAGTCAATAAATGAAGCACCGCGTGAATATAAAGCAGAGAATGAAGATCTTTCGCGTGTGGACGTCGTTTCACGCGGATGACTTTTGCTTATGTTGACCAAAGGAGCTTGATTTGGATTTAGGTCTATCAATACATGCCCACCACAACTAGTTGCCAATGATCTCCATCGTGTTCAAATCTGAATCTTTTGAAATTTCAATCTTAGCTGTCCAATGATCAGATCTTGAGGTCAAAAATGACATCAAGGTTTTCCACCTGTGATATGCCATCAATAATTTAGAGAGATTAAAGTTTTAAATTAAATTTACAAATTAAATGATGTATCATCAATAAAAAAATAAACACGTTAATCAATACTTAATTAATTATTTAATCATTTACAACCACATTATTTAATTTAAAAAATTTAATCTCAGCATTACCTATAATCTAATAATGTGAACAACTAAAGACGTCGCTGTATCCTTGAAATTCTCGTACTCGTACATAAATTGATTAGCACATGAAAAATTCTTTAGTAGGGGCAATCATGATATGTCATCATTTTAAGAAATAAATACTCTCATAAAATCAATAACCATATAACCAAGCATGCCATATGATAAATTTTTATTAGATGAGCACGTGATTCACTTTATTTTTTATTTTTTTGAACAAAGTGATTCACTTTTTAAACATATGTGCATATGTACAAGTAATATGTATCGATTGCAAGAGAGAATTCTCGCAATGGATCGACACATGTATCTTTGGATTTGGGGAGGGTTGATGCGGCATGGCCGCTGCCCCAAACTACCATTACTATACCGAAAATTACACACAACAGCCAGCTGGGATTTTGATGAAACAAATTCACATATCCAAATTCCAACCAGATGAACCAAGAACACAACAGGCTTACCTTGATAAAATGATAATTTACATTAATAATTGCATTAGCACAAAGAAGAACATACATAGAAGAAGCATAAGTTCTTACAGTGATTTGATGTTAATTATCCTAAACAATATCAGTTCTTACAATGATTTGATTATCCTAAACACCAGCCGGATGCTGTCGTTCACCATGTTAAATCACCATCTTAAGATTTTAGAGTATTTACATTATTTTTCTAGAAATTCTAATATATGAGTAATGCTAAGTATACTAATATTTTAGACCATATTTGCAAACCATGTAATGTGTCATTAATAGAAAATAAGCAAGTTAATAACAATTAAGTAATAATTCAATCATTAAACAACCACATCATATAGTTTATAAAATATTATTTAAATATGTGATATTCCTATTCCTACCATTATTAATTTTATATTTATTCAATTAATAAATGTTGAGATTTCTCGATTCCTATTGAATTTAAAATTACTTATGAGTTCTACCTTAGGCATTTCGTTCGACTTCTCTATTACTATATCAATACATACATCGAGATGTATGATATGATGGCGATCAATTGATCCCTTGCCTTGAGTACACAAATCCTTCCTTTCTTCCCAACCCCAACATTATTGATTCCCGAACACAATCGTGACACCCAAACTACTACATTTAACAGTTTTCAACAAAAAATATTTGGTCAAGCAAAGAGAAATTTCATCGCATAAATGTTGAAGAGATGCAATATTGGTTGCGCAAAGGTCATGAAAAAAATACCTAAATATAGGATTCATTAGAACCTGCCCCACGAACTTGCTTAAACACAATGGTGCCAACCATAACATGATTGATGTGGGATTGGGTCCTATAGCCATATAAGGGATTCATTAGAACCTTCCTCATGAAAACTAAACAACTCATCTCATTACAGCAATTAAAAGCAAAGCAGTGTTGGAAAAATGCTCTACCTTAGAAGATGGAGATTTGCAAATCCAAACAAATTCTAAACAAGATATTATTGAAAGTATTGTTGTGATCAACTTGCAAACCTAATGACATATGTAGAATCTGTATACTCGTTCCGTGAATGCCGATCATCTACAATTACTTAAGAGGTTTTTTTTTATCCGATGACTTTCGTTAACATTGAAGAACACATATGTATTTAATTTGAGCCTTCTTAGACCAACTCCAATGGTGGGTTAAAAGCCAAATTACCCCTCAAAATTTTCCACAGCTGTAAAGTGGCATCAATTATAAGGGGTCTTGTCACCATCTTCTTATCCACATTTTCTTAATTATTTGAGAAAAAAGTTTGTGCGGATTCAAGAGCAAAGTAACTGGTTTTTCATTTCTCATTTTGTTAATTATTCTGATTTTTATTTTAACACTCTATTAAATACTTTAGTAGATGAATTCAATTTATTTTATTCTAAATCAGTTTAACTTAATCTTTAAACTAATATAGTATAAGATGATTCAATTCAACAAACACACTATAAAATATTAAATGTTGGAAGGATGATGAAACTACAGCTTATCCATTATACCCGAATGTTGATGTCCATCTAACATTATTGGAGGGAAATTGAGGACGGCAGGGTCAGGGAGATTGTGGGGACAACGTGTGAGAGGCTCATGTTTGATTAGAATAGAATCGGATGTTATGTTGGTGGGGTTGAAGATTAGGGAGGCGTACCTGGGCATGATAGAATTTTGGTGTCGGTGGAAGTGCTCAAGATGGCCTTGGATGCGCAGCAAGTTATCCGTCGTCTCACTTGTTAGGAGGAAGATTTCGGTAGGTAGAGCCGTGGCTCATGAACTTGCCCATGCTGCTCTAAAGGAGAATTTTGGTTGTTACGTTAATTCATCATGATATTTATGTATTCAATCGGCATTTCAAAAAGAACAATGTCACAAATTCAACTTTACTGCTTTGCTGTGATGTACGAGCTTTTTAGGCTGAATTTTACCGTTTATTAGCATCTTCAGATTTTAGGATATTTTTAGTAATTTACTAGAAAATCTAAGTGAGAGTTGTCATCTTCTATATGAGTATGCTAGCTAAATTAAAAATTTAAAGCACATTGGCTAACCATGTGATATGTTATCAATATATAAAAAATACGCACATTATTTATCCAATAACTCTAGTTAGCACCGAAGAGCGCATACGAATATAATTTGAATCTCTGTATCGTGTATGCATTGTACAAATGAACTTACTTTCTTTATATATATATATATATATATATATATATATATATATAATTTTGAAGAAATTGTAGCAATGATCCCTCAACTTTAATTCAATTGGAGTAATGATCTCTCAACTAAAAATTCAGGACCATTAAACCCTTAACCTATCAAAACATGCAGCTATAATCATTTTCGTCAACACCATTAAAACTTCTGTCAAAATGAGTCACGTGCTATGCAAGTGAAACAAAATTAAGCGGCAAATATGAAAAACCAAATGAGAAAAACTATAGCAACCTCAACTTTAACCCAATTAAAGAAATAGTTCCTCAACTTTAACCCAATTAAAGTAATGGTTTCTCAACTTTAACTTAAGTGTACCAACAGTTATTCCAACATGACTCATTTTGACAGAATTCTAATGAAATTGACGAAAATAACCATAGTTACACATCTTGATGAGTTAAGGGACTAATGATAATTGATTTTTAATTAAAAGATTATTGCTCAAATTAAATTAAAATTAAAAGAACATTACTATAATTTTTTCTTAATTTTCTGTTCAATCCTCATTACTTTATTAAAATCGGTTCTCCACTTGTCCAATGAGATCTTTCCTGATAAGATGGGTTTATATTTATGTCTGCTCTATTGCTGGACCACGCTCCACTCTTTGAACATAAAGTTTCACGAGGGCTCCTATCATCTGATGTGCTTCCGTCGTCTTCTTATACCATATTTTCTTGAATTATTGTTAAAACATTCATTCAACTTACTCGCTCTTCTTGCGTCCTTCCTTGGCTCTCTCTCCATTCTCTGCATTCCTCTCTCTGATCTCCCTTAATTGCGCGAGTATGGATCCTGCAAAGGTGTTAGAAACTCTCTACACTTTTCCGGTGGAGGGAATACTAAACTCGGTCGCTTCACTTGCTGCTCAAGAAATCAGTCTTTTCCGAGGATTCAAAAAAGAGCTAACTAAGCTTCGTGAATCAGTACTTGCAATTCAAGAGTTCTTAGGCGATGTTTCGTACCAACCACGTGACAGGGGCAAGGCGGTGGAGGTCTGGGTGAAGAAACTGAAAGACGTAGCTCATGATGCTGATGATGTATTGGAGGACATCACCTACGAAGTTCTCAGGCGTAAAGTAGAAATTCAAAACCACATGAAGAAGAAGGTACTTAACTTCTTTTCGCTCTCCAAGTCCAATCCCATTTTATTTCGTCAAAAGATGGCCCACAAGATTAAGAACATCAATGCGTCACTGGCGGATCTCAAAAGGGATGCAGCTTCCGTCGGCTTAATGGCAAGGAGAGTAGATCAAAACCCTCCAGGTATGGGGAACAGAGAAACCGTCTCATTCTTCGGTCGCGATGAGAAGCCCATCGGAAGGAAGAAGATTGTGTCGGATATCATTGCAGCCTTGATCGAGTCCAAGAATCAGGAAGAGTACCTTTCAGTTAAGGCCATTGTGGGAATGGGAGGACTCGGTAAGACGACTTTGGCAAGATCAATATTCAATGATGATGCTATCGGTAGACATTTTGAGAAAAAAATGTGGGTTTGTGTGTCTGACCCTTTTGATGTTAATTCGATTCTAAATCGGATGTTAGAATCCCTTAAATCAAACAGGACAGGACTTATAGCTCGGGAAGCATTGCTGAATGACCTCAAAGAAGGGTTGACAGGGAAGAGGTATATTCTAATACTCGATGATGTTTGGAACGAAGATGACGAGTTATGGAGTGATTTTACGAGTTGTTTGTCGAGACTCAATTCTGCTCCCGGAAGCATTGCCATTGTTACTACTCGCAGTGCTAAGGTTGGGTCAATCACAGAGACAATGCCAAGTTGTGATTTGGAGAGCCTATCAGTAGATGATTGTTGGTCCATATTAAAGAGTGGAGCATTCCCAAATGGTGCTCCTCCTTTAGATCCAACTCAAGAGAACATTGGAAGGGCCATAGCTGCAAAGTGTACTGGTGTACCATTGGTGGCAAAGGTATGCATCCATATATTATTATATTCACCCTTGCTGTTTTGGATCTGGCTTTCTAATTTAATAACATAAACATAGAAATAGAGGGACGCGCGGGAGATTTTTGAGTGTAATAAGTAAGGTCTGCATGCGCTTATTAACAAACCAATTTTAATAGAAAAGGAAATAGTTAATGAACTATGACCAATAGAAAAATGAATAATACTTGAATTTCCTCCTTGAGAGATGTGCTCAATTTCACATTTGCATATAAATTTACAAAAAAAAAAATTAATATTACTGTTATTTGAATGTTACGAAAAATATTTACCTATTGTTTAAATTTTACGAAGATAATGTATCTATTATTTTTTGTTTAACGAATTTTAATTTACCTATTGTTCATATCTTATAAAAATAATTTACCTATTGTTAAATTTCACAAAACAATGTATATTCAACTGTAATTTACCTACCATTTAATTTCAGGTTAAGTATAGAAATCTACCTAACTTTTAGGGTCGATTTAAAATTCGTCCTAACTTTTTAAAATATTCTGATTGAATACTTAAGGTTTTGAAAATTAGACATCCGTCACTGACACTATGTAGTAAAGTTATCAGTGTAAAGTGATGGGGACAACAAATAAATTGAAGGGCATGTTCGAATTTTTACTATCACATCATCTATGGAGCTCTAAATTGTCAAAGCTACACCTTTTATCCAAGCATGCCCTTCAGTTTATTTGTGCATGTCATTACTGACACTCTAATGACCTAATAAATGTCCAACTTTTAAAACGTTAGGTAATTATTTGGAATGTTTAAAAAAGTTGAAACAAATTTGAAATTACCTCTAAAAATTAGGTGGTTCTACGTACTTAACCCTTTAATTTAATGAAGATGATGTATCTACTATTTCTTGTACATGGATATTAATTTATCTATTGTTTATATTTTATGAAAAAAATTACCTATTTTTTGGTTTTATGACAATAATTTACCTATTGTTTAATTTTTTATTTTTTTTACGAAAATAATGTTTTTACAATTTTATTTTTACAAATATAATCTACCTATTCTTTAATTTTTTGTGAAAAAATTGAACCTATTGTTTTAAAAAATATAATTTATGTATTGTTTTATGTTTACGAAATTAGACTGATAGATAGAACTAACAAAACAGTACGAAGACTAGATAGATAGATTTTAATGCGCTATTAAGTCAAAATTAAATAATGGTAGGCTAATAATATGCGTGAGTAAGAAATGTTTATAGAATCTAGTGGCACCGCCCTATTAGGTAGTGAGCGTTACCATCTTTTTTCGCACAAGTCACGTCATCATGGCTTAACAATAATTAATTAGTTTATTTTTTGCACATATAAAATAATAACTTAATAAGTAAATTACAATTCCTTCCAAATTTGTTCCCATCAAATCTTGAGATCATTGTCCATGGGCTCGGTTCCTCTCCGGAACCTTCACCTCCGGACCAATTTGTTCGTGGCCGTTAGATGATATCCTACTGCTAGTAATTAATTTTCTTTAATAGTTTTCACATAAAAATTTCTCACTTTCTGCTCCCCCTTCTCTCTTTTTTCCATCAAAAAGTTGTAGGAACCTCAATTTCACTTCAAAACTCCGGCTTCTCTCTCCTCTTTCAACACTGCACTAGCGAGTTCTAATTAATCATGGTTAAGCCATGAACATGTGGCGTGTTCTAAGAACATCTCTAGTGAAGTCAACTACCGTACAAAATGAGTGTAAAACAAGTATAGAGATAAAATGAATCTCTAATAGATCAGAAAGTGAGTCATAGGGACTCACCGGAGATATAGTGTATGTCCCCACATATAGGGAACCTTGAGTGGAAAACAGGACTTACAATCTTGATTGAAGCTTTTAATGCTTTTAATTAATTAAAAAAATGTTAACATAAACAGAAGAATGTGCTCATGGAATGGCAAATGGGGCTCATAATTTTGATTGAAGATTTTAATGCTTTTAATTAAGGGAGTTTTAACGAAAAGTCTGTGGTACTGTTCACTTTAATGAAAAACCATATTTTTACACTAAAAAGTCAAATATGGTACTATTCATTTTACCTTTTATTTTATCCTTATCGTTAAAACTCAAAGTTTTCAAACCCTTTTCATTAGTTTTCCTTTTAATTAATTAAAAAAAATGTTAACCTAAAAAAAAAGTGCACCTAATCAAATTATCATCTAAAATCATAAAAACTTCAAATTTAGGGATTCTACCATAAGGACTCTCCCATTGAAGACAATATTTCTTTAGGGACACAAAGATAAGTCCTTACATGAGTACTCAAAAGTGGTGTTGAGAGTCCTTAAATAAGGACTTCTATTGGAGATGCTCTAAGAAGGATGATAAAGCTTACCATCTAGTAAGGGTGATGAGCAAATTCGGACTCTTGTGGTATGGTTTATGCCCGGAAAACAAGAGTTGTTGGGGTCTAAATTTGAAGAACTGTATTGAACTTAATTTTAATCCTTGAAAAAGATTACTCTTGTATTAATACCTTGCGTAAGATTATAATCTAATTCTAGTCCCTTGCTCAATGTCCAAGTCAGAAATGGATCCTTTCCGGATCCACTATGTGGATAGTACCTGATAAAAACTGATCGCACTATATACGATGAACGGCTGAGATGTGAGGATCCTAGGGATCCCCATATAGTGAATCCGGAGGGGATCCATTTCCGTCTAAGTCAAAGTACATTTACCTTATATTTAATTCTACTTTTCATTTGATTCATCATAATATATTTTGATATAGACGTCTTGTCTACTAATTTTATTTCAATAGTATAATTGATATACTTTGTGTTATTCATTTAGGTACATTAAGTCGTTTTTAATTCATTATGATGTTTCGTTACATACATTTAGATGCATTAACATATATTTCGGTACAAACATTTAGATACATCTTTTAACACAAATATTGGGGAGCAAAATTGAACTTTTCATCGAGTGAAAACAAAGTTGAGATTCAATTAAACTATTAACTTTTGTGTTAACAGGTATTAGGAAGCGTGATGCGTTCAAGTGATTGGTCGTTGATTCTAGAAAATGAGATATGGCAATTACCAGAAACAGAGCATATAATCAGCTCGGTTTTGAAGTTAAGTTTTGATAATTTGAAGTCTCCATCCTTGAAACAATGTTTTGCATATTGTTCAATTTTCAAAAAAGATTTTGAAATTGAACGGGATGACTTGGTCCAGTTCTGGATGGCTCAAGGATATCTCCTTTCATCTCGCACCATGAGTATGGAGGACATAGGCAATGACTATTTTAATATTCTATTGCAAAACTCCTTATTTCAAGATGCTAGAGAAGATAAGTACGGCATTATTACGAAATGCAAGATGCACGATCTTGTGCATGATCTTGCAGTGGAAGTATTCAAATCTGAAAGCTTGACGCGAGACTTGGATCAGATGGATGATGATGAAATTGAGATTCAGCATGTTGCGCATATTTCTTCCACTACAATTGAAAGAATTCCAAAAGGGAGTGTTGAGAGATTGCGGTCGTTGTTTGTTGATTGCGAGGTCCCTAGTAACACCTTTCAAAGGTTTAAAGGTTTACGGATGTTGAATTTATTCGATGCCAAAATTGAGGAGTTGCCCAATTCAATTGGAAAGTTGAAACGCTTGAGGTATCTCAACATTTCCTGGACAGGAATAGAAGAACTCCCCAAATCTATTGGCAAGCTCTATAATCTTGAGACGTTAAGAATGTCATATACAGACATTAAAACGTTTCCTAGGGAAATGGAAAATTTGATCAACTTGAGACATGTTTATTTCGACAAGGATGTGGAAGTTCCATTTGGGATGACAAGATTGACTCATCTGCAAACGCTACCTTGTTTTAAATTGGATAGAGCAAGGCGTCATAGACTTGATGAGCTAGGTGGGTTAAATGAACTGAAAGGGGAACTAGTTATTGGATCATTGGAATTTGTGAGGGACAAGGAAGAAGCGATGGAATCAAAATTAGTGGAAAAGGCAAACCTACGAAAATTGATATTAAAATGGGGGAAAGAAAGAAATGGCAATTTTCTTGACGAGGATATTCTTGAAGGACTCCAACCGCACCACAACGTAGAAAGCTTGACGATTGAGGAATTCAAGGGTACTAAATTTGCATCTTGGATGATGAGAAATTGTCGAGCAACCAATCTCCGTCATTTGAGCACTAGGAGCTGTCAGCAATTGTTGAGCTTGTGTTGTGGGTTAGAATATTGCCCCTCGCTTGAGACGGTGAACATTGAGGATTGCGGCAATCTAGAATCCTTCCAAATTTCACCATCCCAATCTCTTCAGGTGTTGAGGATAGAAGGTTGCCCAAAGCTAAGATGCACTTCAATTCAGAGTCTGCCCTCACTCCGTGATTTGGTTATTAAGAGGTGCACTACTCTCGAGGGGGACTTGTCTTTAAACGGTTGCACATCCCTCCGTGAATTGAGAATTGAAGACTGCGATGGATTCACAAGTATACTGAGTGGGCTCCATTCTTGTACTAGTCTTCGCAAACTGGATATTAGTAAATGTCGAAATTTGAGGACTTTGTCGGGTCATGGGCTACAAACCCCCGTCTCTCTTGAGCATATGGCAATATGGAATTGCCCTAATCTAGAGGCTATTCCCAGTTTAGACAACCTCACGTCCCTCACTTATTTGTGGATTAGGAGATGTGATGGATTAATAAGTCTACCGAGTGGGCTTGCATCCTGCACATCTCTTACCCATTTGAGTGTCCACATTTGCCATAATCTACAGGCTATTCCCAGTTTAGACAACCTCACGTCCCTCACTGAGTTGATTATTGAGAAATGCACTACTGGGGACTTGTCTTTAAACGGTTGCACATCCCTCCGTGAATTGAAAATTCAAGACTGCAATGGATTCACAAGTATACTGAGTGGGCTCCATTCTTGTACTAGTCTTCGCACACTGGATATTAGTAAATGTCGAAATTTGAGGACTTTGTCGGGTCATGGGCTACAAACCCCCGTCTATCTTGAGCATATGGAATTATGGGATTGCCCTAATCTAGAGGCTATTCCCAGTTTAGACAACCTCACGTCCCTCACTGAGTTGAATATTGAGAGATGTAATGGATTAATAAGGCTACCGAGTGGGCTTGCATACTGCACATCTCTTACCCTTTTGGATGTCAGTTTTTGCTGCAATCTAGAGGCTATTCCCAGTTTAGACAACCTCACGTCCCTCACTGCATTAAGTGTCAGCTTCTGCGACAATTTGATATCCCTGGCGGATCACAATGTGTCCAGCTTACAATCTCTTTCCTCTTTAGATTTATCTTATTGTGGGAAATTACAATATTTGCCCAAGGGGCTGCACTCTCTATCTCGTTTGGAAAAGATGGAGATCGGTCCATTCTACGAGGAGCTCGATTCTTTCCCGGATTTTCAGGTCCCATCGAAACTGAAAGAATTAACATTGCACGGGTGGCCTAAGCTCAAGTCTCTGCCTCAGCAAATTCAACACTCTGCTTCTCTAACTGTGCTGGAAATTTGGAAATTCGATGGTCTGGAGGCTCTTCCAGAGTGGTTGGGCAACCTTACATCTCTTACTCAGTTGGCAATTCGGCAATGTGAGAACCTGATGCATCTGCCTACGGTCGAAGCTATGCAACGCCTAACCAATTTACATGATCTAGTGATTCATTCGTGTCCCCAACTGAAAGAAAGATGCGCCGAGGACAGCGGCCCAGAATGGCCAAAGATTTCTCACATTCCAGTTCGGAGGTAATTTTTATTTTTGGAGCCCTTATTTTTATCTCCAATCAATTATGCATGTATATTTTGTTCAAAATTCTTCATTCACTCTCGTTTTCTGCAGTTTTCGGTGATGAATCAAAAGGCTCTTACCAGAGTGATGACGGAACCTGTCATGAATCGACCATCTATCTATTCACCGTTGTGGGAATCTCAAGTATCTATCGGCACTGGGGAAGCCAATCCAAATTTTACTGTTGCGTAAAATTTCTGGCATTTCCCAGAGTCAAGTGTAGGTTTCTTTCCCGAAACAGCAATTCATGATTTGTTCTCTTCTCTTGTCTTTTAGGCTCGTGGAAGAACATTAATTTTTTTTGCAACTGTTTACGAGTCTGCGGTTATTCTGTATATGTTATAATGTTCAAATATGTTCTAAGGCATGTTGCGCATGGTTGTTACTTGTTATGGTGCAGATATACTTTTGTATAAGGTTGTGTTTCTTCTCACTGTGTGCACGTCCTCTCAACTTACACAGTTTTATTAGACCAATTTTATGGAAGGTAATCTGTTTAGTCAATATGTAACTTCTTTGTTCAAAGCTTTCATCCTTAAATAAAACCATGTCAAGTTATCTAGAATACATTAATCACAGATAAATTGGATTTGTATTTCAGCTCACTTAAGAAGGGATTCCAGTAAGAGAATTGTAGGAAAGGACAAATAGCTGATTTTGGTCTGTCCATGGTTTTTTTTTTTCCAGTGATAATGAGACTTGTGTGGTGAATTGGTCATGGGCAGAGCGGGTTATCTTGATCGAGAGTATGTTCAAAATTTCTGTGTGTCTATTGGATTTTTTATCATGTTATAAACACAAATGTATGAACAGTGAGTGGTTTATTCGTGATTACATTTTTTGGTCTGCAGGTACTATAGTTATCATGGGTTGAATGAAAAAATTGATTTTTACAGGGTTTATTTGTGATTACACTTTTTTACGGGGTTGTGTTTCATCTCACTGTGTGCAGGTTCACCCAACTTCTTTCTTCCATCTTTCATCCTCGAATAAAATCACGTCAAGTTATGTAAAATACGTTAATCACAGATAAATTGGATTTGTATTTCAGCTTATTTAAGAAGGGAATCTAGTAAGAGAATTGCATTAAGAGAGGAGGCAATCCCAGCACAAGGAAAACTTGGACACGAAAATAGCAGATTTCAGTATGTCCATGGTTTTTACCAGTGATAATGGGACTCGTGTGGTGACATCAGTCATGGGCACAGCGGGTTATCTTGATCCAGAGTGTGTTCAAATTTCCTTGTTCTTTTAGATTTTTTTATCATGTTATGAATACAAATGTAAGAACAGTTAGTGGTTTATGATTACTTTTTTTGGTCTGCAGCATGGGTTTTGTGCTGTGTCATGTCAACTAACACAACGTTTGGAAATGGAGGTGCCTAGGCATCCAGAAAGAACTCCAGGCTAAAATGAATAAACTCGTGTTACGATTTCACCATACCATAGTTCACCTAGAGTGATTTCCAGATGTTCAGATTCCACACATGCAGGTTCCATGACTGCACCATGCTAGGTAGCTACAAACTCTCATTCATCCCATGTTCAAAACTTGGTGTGGGATCTGTAGTGCAGTGAATCAGTGTAAGCTACATACTAGTATGTATCTAAATTGTCCTCAACTTAATCACTTTTGTCCAATACTTGGGGTTGTGTCACAGCACATAACCCTAACAGGAACATTGTTTGAAATGCTTTGACTAGAAAATACGTTGGCTTGACCAAATTGCTCTAGTATGAACATTGCATTATCCATTGATTGACGTACACTAAGCATCCCCATGTAATAAGGATCATTGTGCAGCATGAGGTTACAAATCCACACTCATATACGTTTTTCTGTTTTTTTGGTCGGGACATTGTCACGCGTTTTAAATACCTGGTAGTTCATAGGCTGCAATGAGACAGAGAGATGATCTCAACTGGGGTCCTCGTCCTACTGCTCTTTGCAAGTTTTGTTCATGGAGAGTGCCCAATAGGTTAGTATTTCCTTTAACGAAAGCGAATGGCATTGCGTCCTTCAGATTTATATTTTCTATCTGCTGATAAGTTATTTTTAGATTAGATTCAAGCAAGCTCAAGAAGAATATTGTTGTTCCAATACTTGGATCATTACCATCAACAATGGCACTGGATGATTCAGAAGGGTCTTACCAGAGTGATGACGGAACCTTTCATGTGTTGACGATCTATCTACTCACCATTGTGGGAACCTGAAGTATCTCTCCACAGTAGGAAAGCCAGTCCAAATTTTACTGTTGTGTTCTAAATTAAAAGAAGCAATCTGCTCGACTGGCCCAAGATTTCTTGCATTTCTGACAGTCAAGTGTAGGTTTCTTTCCCGAAACAGTAATTCGTGATTGGTTCTGTTCTCTTGTCTTAGTTGCATTTAGTTTGCAAAATCATACACTTTCTAGCCTCGTGGAAGAACATTAATTTCTTTGCTTTCACAATCTTTTTGGAACAGCACTTTAAACTTTTGTGGAAATTAAGCTTTTGAGTCCTTAAATATGAGTAAATAGGAGTACATTTGCAACTGTTTACGAATCCGTGGTCATTCTGTATATGTTATAACGTCCAATGTGCATTCGAATATATTCTAAGACATGTTCCACATGGTGTTATGGTGCAGATACATTTTTATGAGACCAATTTTGTGTAAGGGAATCTGGTTGTCTATTCGGAAATGTGAGAACCTGATGTATCTGCCTACGGTCGAAGCTATGCAACGCCTAACCAAATTACATCAGCTAGTGATTGATTCGTGTCCCTGTTTGGCAGAAAAATGCGCCATTTACCGCGGCCCAGAATGGCCAAAGATTTCTCAAATTCCACAACTGACTGTGAGGTAATTTTTATTTTTGGAGCCCTTATTTTTATCTCCAATCATTTTGTTCAAAATTCTTCATTCATTCTCGTTTTCTGCAAAATTGATTGTTTGATGACTGTCACTTGATGATTCAAAAGACTCTTACCAGAGTGATGACGGAACCTTTCATGAACTGTTGTGGGAATCTGAAGTATCTATCGGCAGTAGGGAAGCCAATCCAGATTTTACTGTTGCGTTCTAAATTAAAAGAAGCAACCCGCCCGACTGGCCCAAGATTTCTTGCATTTCCCACAGTTAAGTGTAGGTTTCTTTCCCGAAACAGTAATTCATGATTTGTTCTATTCTCTTGTCTTAGTTCCATTTGGTTTTCAAAATCATAGACTTTCTAGCCTCGCAGAAGAACATTAATTTTTTTTGCTTTCACAATATTTTGGAACAGACTTTAGGCTTTTGTGCAAATTAAGCTTTTTAATCCTTAAATATGAGTAATTAGAAGTACAATTGCAACTGTTTACGAGTCTGCGGTTATTCTGTATATGTTATAATGTTCAAATATGTTCTAAGGCATGTTGCTCATGGTTGTTACTTGTTATGGTGCGGATACACTTTTGTACAAGGTTGTGTTTCTTCTCACTGTGTGCACGTCCTCTCAACTCACAGTTTTATTAGACCAATTTTATGGAAGGTAATCTGTTTAGTCAATATGTAACTTCTTTGTTCAAAGCTTTCATCCTCGAATAAAACCATGTCAAGTTATCTAGAATACATTAATCACAGATAAAATTGGATTTGTATTTCAGCTCACTTAAGAAGGGATTCCAGTATGAGAATTGCATTAGGAGAGGAGAGCAAGCGCAGCACAACGGAAACTTAGATGCAAAAAAATAGCAGATTTCGGTCTGGCCATGGTTTTTTTTCCAGTGATAATGTGACTTGTGTGGTGACATCGGTCATGGGGCAGAGCGGGTTATCTTGATCAAGAGTATGTTCAAATTTCCGTGTGCTATTAGATTTTTTATCATGTTATAAACACACATGTATGAACAGTGAGTGGTTTATTTGTGATTGCATTTTTTGGTCTGCAGGTACTATAGTTATCAAGGGTTGAATGAAAAAATTGATTTTTACAGTTTTACTGGCCAACCTGCAATCTAGAAAGTGATGATTTTGTCCACATAGTGCAGTGGGTGAACCCTGAGTTCCAGAATGGGATTTAACAACTATTTTGTATCGAATGATTCGAGGAGAGTTCAATGTGAATTCGGCCTGGAAAGCTTTAGAGACCGAAATGGCATGCACAACTATCACCTGCCAACATAGAGCCACCATGGGTTTTGTGCTGTGCCAACTAACACAATATATGGAATAGAGGTGTCTAGGCATCGACAAAGAACTCCAGGCTCAAATGAAGAAACTCGTATTACGATTTCACCATACCAGAGTTCACCTAGAATGATTTCCATTTGTTCAGATTCCACAAATGCAGGTTCAATTTCACCACCATGCTAGGTAGCTATTTAGGCTTTACCTTTGCTGGCTCCTACAAACTATCTCATTCATTCCATGTTCAAAATTTGATGGGTTAAAAATGGGTGTGGGATCTGTTGTGCAGTGAATCAGTGTAGGCTAAATACTAATATATATCAATATGGCCCTCGAGGTAATCACTTTGGAACAATGTTTGAAATGCTTTGACTAGAAAATACGTTGGCTTAACCAAATTGCTCTCTTAGTATGAACATTGAATGATCCATTGATTGACGTAGACTAAGCATCTCCATGTAATAAGGATCATGTTTCATGTAAAGTTGTGCAGCATGAGGTACAAATCCACACTGTCATATACGTTTTTCTGCTTTTTTGGTCGGAACTTGTCATGCGTAATAAATACCAGGTAGTTCATAGGCTGCAGTGAGACAAAGAGAGAAGAAGATCTCAACTGGTTTCCTCGTCCTACTGCTCTGTGCAAGTTTCGTTCATGGAGAGCACCGAATAGGTTAGCATTTTCTTTAACTAAAGCGAATGGTATTGTGTCCTTCAGATTTTCGATGTGCTTATAAGTTCTGTTTTAGTTCAGATTCAAGCAAGTGCAAGAAGAATGTGGTTGTTCCAATACTTGGATCCTTACTGTCAGCAGTGGCCCTCCTCCAAGTTATAGTGCTCAAACTGGTATGGAAGCTGAGAAGAATAAGAAAACCAAGTACCATTTTATACCTTTGACACTTACTCAGTTAGAACCGGCGCTCCTACTATGGTGTAGTGGTATTCCTAACCAGTTAGTCTGAACTCATATCTTTTTGTCTACTTAAGCTGCAGATGGAGATAAACGTAACAAAACTCCTGTAGCATCAGAAGTCCTAGTTCACTTATGACGAGGTCTTAGAAATCACCGAAAACTTTAAAACGGAAATCGGGAAAGGAGGATTTGGGATTGTATACCATGGCTAGTTGAAATATGGCACTCAAGTTGTGGTTCTACATCGTCATCTCAAGGAGCTAGCTCAGCTAGGGAGTTCCAAACGGAGGTTTGACAGTTTGAATTTAATTCCTTGGAATGCAAGTTAAATGCCTTGTCTCGTTGGTTAGAGATTGATGAGTTCCTTGTCGCTGCAGGTTGAGCTCCTGATGAGAATCCATCATAGAAACTTGGCCTCATTTATTGGATACTGTGATGATACCTATAAGTTGGCACTTATATACAAGTACATGCCTAATGCAAACCTAAAAGAATATCTCTGATCAGGTATGTAATTCTATATTTTACATAGCATTGTCCTCCAACAGAGGGTTTCAAAATATTGAAGTGTCACGTTAATGGTTGCAGATGCAGATAGAAGCTCACATAAACTTGGGAAATGAGACTTCAGATAGCATTAGATAGGTGCTTAGTGTTATTTTGTATGCTACTATATATGCACAATCCAGTATTGAAACGGTTGGAAATCGGTGCGTTTTGGGAGGAGCTCGATTCTTTCCCTGATTTTCAGGTTCCATCACAGCTTGAAGAATTGGAATTGTGCGGGTGGCCTAAGCTCAAATCTCTGCCTCAACAGATTCAACACTTGACTTCTCTAACATCTTTGGCCATTTCCCTTTTCGATGGTGTGGAAACTCTTCCAGAGTGGTTGGGTAACCTTACATCTCTTACTCTGTTGGAAATTCGGCATTGTGCAAATCTTCTCTATCTACCTACGGTCGAAGCTATGCAACGCCTAACCAAACTACATGAGCTACATATTTTTAATTGTCCCCGTCTTGGTGAAAGATGCACCAAGGGCAGTGGCCCGGAATGGTCAAAGACATCCCACATTCCAAAAATCATAGGTAATTTTTTTCCTCCAAATTGACTATCCATCTATAATTTGTTCAATTCTCTTTGCTCACCTTCTGTTTTCTGCTGTATTAAGTATTAACCGAACATATTCCTTGATTAGTTGAAAGATGGTGATTTGAGCCATTCGGCGCCTCAACGATCCAGCACGGTGGATATTCATGGTTTTCATCTTTAAAGAAAAATATGTGCATCGAGGAGTAGTAGCTGTCACGAAGTTGTGCAAGATATTGCTCTCATCCTAATTGCTTCAAGTTTCATACTGAAAAGAAAGTTGTTAAGTGTAACGTTACTCGCAACAATAAACAATAACAAGGTTAAGTCTTTCGGCATCATAACTTGTTTTCGATTTTGGTTTTTTAGTTTTCAAAATACTGTAATTGCTCGTAATTTGCCTGTTAGATTATAATTTCAATTTTTAAAAATTAGATATTAAAAAAAAAAAAAAAATCATCAAAGATCTCTATATGAAACTTTATTTTGAGCCTTGTTGAAATTTTCAAGAACACAATTAAGCACTGAGTAACCTGTTTGAGGACAATGGAATATCCTACAATGGTCTTTAGGTTTTTGTACTATTAAAAAGTGGCAGCCCTCAATTATCATTAGTTGTTGATTTGTGTAGGTGATGTAGAAACCATATAATCCAAACAAATCCAATAATTTTATCGTTAGGAGAATCAATTAGTGTGTAACTAAATTGGAATGATCTATAAAGACAACTATTTGACCCAAACAGCACAATAATTTCAGTTTGGCAAATCTGTTGCTTCCAAATCATAATTTTAAACCATAAGAAAACTCCTTTCCATAACTAACTGCAACCTGCATGGGTTCATTAACTCAATGGTAGGCTTGTTAATTCAAGTATATTCCTTTTAAAGCAAACCAATTCAATTGACACTTAAAAAAGGGAAATTTTATTTGAATCTATGTAACCTCTCTCTACACCCAACAGAGAATATGATGGATTGGATAGCTAAACTTGTAGGTGAGTTGTCAAGAGAGAGTTTCGATATATTCCTTGTTCTTCTTTGGAGTATGTGGAAAGAAAGGAACTCCTTTTTGTGGCAAGGAAAGGCACTCGAATTGACGGAACTACTTTGTCGGGCAATTAGTTGGGTGAAAGAATTCCAACACTGGCATGGAAAAAATGAAAAACGTGGCTGTAATGTTTCTCAAAAATGGATGAAGCTGGGAGAAGGATGGAAGTGTAATTTTGATACGGCTTGGGATGAAAATAGAAGTATTGGTGGCATTGGGGTGGTGATTCGGAATGATAGGGGTGATTTTGTGGCGGCCTTGGCAAAGAGGCATGATGCTAATCCTTCCCCTCTGCTGGCCGAGACTATGGTAGCTAGGGATGCTCCTTGGTTGGTCAAGGAGAAGCAATTACAAGCCTTGGTTTTTGTAAGGGATGCGTTACTTGTGATGGCAGCTCTTCAACAGGATAGTTAACGGGATCACTCGCTGTTCGGAAATATTCTAAATGATACTCGCTTGATGATTCAGGCATTGCCCCAATGGAAAGTTGGTTTTAGCGGTAGGGAGACGAATAAAGTGGCACAAAGATTAGCACGAATGAGTATGAGTTGTGATAATCCTATTATTTGGTTTGAAGAACCTCCTGATGTAATTGTGGATCTTCTAAATGAGGATAGCAGTTCCTAATTTGTTTAGTGCGGGATACTCTTTTTCCTTTCGACCGGGTTGAAATTCCCCGCAAGGTTTTATCAAGGCCCACTGTATGCACCCTATCCTCTTTGATTGTACATATTTCTATCGTTAATGAATATCGTGAATTTTCTCAAAAAAAAAAAAGAAAACAAAAAGAATCAATATCTCTTTAAACCCAAATTTGTTATCTAAACTACCATTCCAAACCCAATTCAAATGTAAATTTATCTCTACACCCATTTTTAAAATAAAATCTCAAATTAGATAGTTTTATCTCTACACCCCTCACGGATGCAATTTTGTATAAACTCTGTAACATGTACACTAACGAATACCAAGATCCTTGATATATTTTTGTTCTAAAGAATTCCGGTTTTAGCTCTTTAGGAACTGAGTTTTTTGTTTTTAAATTGTTCTCTGGATTTTTCTATCAATTGCTTCACTGCATATTATTTGATTTTTTTGGTGAAGTTTCAAACTTCCACCTGGAGCTGTGTATAACACTATAGCATTTCCCATGGTTGCTGCAAAAATTTATTAGTACTTTCATCACGGCTGTTGTAGAAAGTTTAACAAACTATGCTCAGCTTGGAATTGATGAAAAGGAAATTGAAACCTAAATACTTATCTTTTAAATTCTAAAAAAAATTGAGATCAAACCAACAAAAAAATTTCATTAATCAAGTCCTACCTTAATTGGAGGATTCAAAACTTCAAAATCACTATCCACTGATAAAAAAAAAAACTTGTTTTTATCAATAAAAGCTATTAGGTTTTATCAGGAATGAACGTAGGCTATACAAGAAGCGATGGTAAAGGTCAATTATAGTATGTGGGTTTATTGATAAGTTTTAGTTGAAGGTAATTATGCAATAATGTAAAAAAGATAATTAACATCTAAAATTTAAGTTGAGTGTGAAAAGAAGTTACATGAGTTTATTCCTTTCTTGTAAATAGTTACTTCTCTTTCTTGCAAATCACACTATTACAAACTAGACGAAATAACTCATCAAAATTAAACAAGAAACTTATATAGACGTGTCAAATTATAAATAACAAGTGAGTAAGAACACTATTTCAGATAAACGAAGTATTGTCTTGCAGGCTATGAGTGGAAAGCTTTACACTCTTGTCCACCGACTCTGTCTTAAAAATATTAATTTTGAAAATGATTGATTGATTTTTTACTATCCAACATGAAAGAGGATAACTAATGCATTACGCGAACGATTCACCTAAGAGCAAACTCACCATGCAAAAAATGTGATAAAGAAAAAGATGTTCCATCAAAATCATGATTAAGGTGGCATGGTTAATCATTGAGTCAGATGAAAGACAAAGCAATTGTAACTTCAAAGTCCCCCAAAACCATGTACCACAATTTTTTTTTTTTGTTAGAATTCTCTATTTTTTTTTATTCATATTAAAAAAAAAAAAAACAAGTGCATGGCCCACATGGGACCCACAGGAAAGACCATCCAATGAAAGGCGTCCACGTCACTAGGACACCAAACACTTTCAGTCAAACAGACAATGATAAGGTGGGAGGAATGCCACTATCATCATCTCGCTCTCAAGTCAAAGAAACGAAGCTGTAAATCCGGAACCGTAAAACGAGCATCTAATTACGGTAAATCCAATCGCCGCGAAAAAGTTAACAGATACGGCGCCGTATGCCAGAATTTGACAGCGGGTAAAAAACATTTTAACGACTTGAAAATTCCGTTAGGACGGATTAGGCGTTGCGAGCGTCGGTGGTGGTTAACCGCAGGTTGTTTTTTCGGTTGAGAGAGAGAGAGAGAGAGAGTGAAAGAAGAGAGAGAGAGAGAGAGGGGGAAGTGGCTTTGTATATAAGCCACAGCGAAGCCAGAGGCTTACTAATTCTTGAAGAAAAGGAGGAGAGAGAAACTCAGGGAAGGAGAAAGAGAGGAGGGGCTGTTTGGGAGACGCGCTGAGTGCAATTCATGGCTGAACCAAACGACGCCGTCTCCCTCGATATGGAGAAGATCTATCTCGGTGGAAAGGTTCGAGCTTTATACTTCAAAGATTGAATTATTTTTAATTTTTTTATCTGTTGTTTTTGACCCTTTTGCTTTGGAATTTTGGGTTGGCGAGATGAGAGGTTGGGGTAATTGATTGGGAGCTGTTTGGCATTGGCTCCAGATGTTTTTAGTTTATCTATTGCAAAATTTGAATTTCCGCATTTTTGTTCTTGGGTTCGGATTCTGGAAAATTGGTGTTGGAATCCATTGAATTTTTGGAGTTATTTACTGTTTGGTTGCCGAGAAAACGAGGGAAAATTGATGGGAAAGCTGCATTTCTGTAAAATTTGTATTCTGGGTTGTTCCCCTGCCACAAGTCCTCTGTGGGCCTGTGGCATTTGACAGCGACGACTAATTTGGCTTTGATTAAGTGAAAAGAACATTAGAACAATTTAGTTTCAAAAGTTTCTTGATATCGGTTTTGCGAAAAACTTAATTTTTGGGATGCTGGAGATATAGAACTGGTAATTTCTAGATCTAAGCGTGACGTATTTGCTAGATTTCAATTTTCTTTCTACATTGGTTTTTACCGTTATAGGTACATCGAATTCTTTCCATTTTCGTGCGCATTTCTGTGTCTGGGATTTGTATATGTTAATATCACCTGGTTCGTTGTGTTATTGTTCGAGTTTCGAACTTTTATGCGAATAGTTGAATGTTTGGGATAAAATTTAGTGCACAAAGTATCGATTTAGACCCTTTTGTTGATTTCTTTGGAATTCAGCGTCAACTCGGTAATACGGGGTTTTATCTTTTCTCATTCACTTTCTTTTGCTCTTTTCTAGTTTGCTATGTTTTTTCTTTTTCGGTTTCTTGATTCTTTACTTCTTATGTGATGTTCTTTGTTCTTTACTATCTATTGACGAAACCAAAGTTACACGTTCCTTTGTCTTACTTCTCTACTCTCTTAACAAGTCGAGTTGTTGCTCTAACAAGTCATCTATATCCTTTTTTTTCGAAGTCGTTTTCTTTCATGTATTTGATTCCATGCTTCTCTTTTTAAGTGTCACCACTTTCTTTTCTTCATTTTTCAAAAAATTTAAATGATTGAACCAGTTATTTGTTTCATCTAATTTTCACAAAGTTATTTTAAAGACGAGGCAGGTGAGTTGTGCACATGGGAAGCTCTTTAGGGAATAAAATTATCTGGAAAAGCTGGATTCCTGGGTTTTTTTCTTTCTCTTATTCGGATTATAGATAAGAAACAGTAGATATCTCGAGGGTAAAATGTTTTAGCATATCATATATAGAATATCATGGTAGTAAAATAGTTCTATTTGCAGCTTTATGATGTTTTCTTTGACAATTACATGTAGTTGTTAATCTGCAACTCATTTGTCATGTTTTTTAATCCTCAGGAACATTTTATTCGAACTGGCCGTGGTTCTGTATCCGTTATCGTGTATGGTGACCAAGAGAAGCCTTCACTTATCACTTATCCTGATTTAGCTCTAAATCGTAAGTGTGATAGAGAGTCTATTGATTGTCCTGGTTCCATTTTTCATTGTTTGAAATGGCAATCTGAGTTTTACCCTTTGCTGTTCTTGCTGATAAAATGCTAATACAGTATTTTCTCAGTGGACATCAAAGCTCTTAATATATGTATGTTTATTTGCTTCTTCTTAACATTATTAGAATATTTATTCTTAAGTTTTCTGTTTATTTTGTTCAATGGAGCAGATGTATCTTGTTTCCAAGGGTTATTCTTTTGTCCGGAAGCGGCTTCTTTGCTGCTCCACAACTTCTGCATATATCATATCAGTCCTCCTGGCCATGAGGTCTGTAAATGGTTTGCTTCAAGTGAATTTTGATTATATCTTTCTATAAAATCATATATTTTTTATGAAAAAAAAATACTTTATGTAACTGAACGCCATTATTCACATAGTTTCTCTTTGGAATTCTCACAAGAGTTCTTGCAGTTAGGAGCTGCTTCAATTTGTCCAGATGAACCTGTGCCTTCAGTTGATGACTTGGCAGATCAGATCCTTGAGGTTCTCAATTATTTTGGGTAACGACCAACACACTGTTGTCATTTTCATGTTCTATTGTTATTTTCTCTGACGGGATCGTGCACAGCGATTGGGTGACTAGTTTCTGATTGCACTAAAATCTCTTTGTGCAGGCTTGGTGCGGTTATGTGCATGGGGGTGACAGCGGGTGCTTATATCCTCTCTCTTTTTGCTGTAAGTGCCTTAAACTGTTTGCAACTATGTTTGAAAAAAAATTCTATCTCGGTTCACTGATCAGGCTTTTCCTTATAGATGAAATATAGGGAGCGTGTCCTTGGATTGATACTTGTATCCCCTTTATGCAAAGAACCCTCTTGGACAGAATGGTTTTATAATAAGGTTCCTTTTTCTAAACCTAGCTGTTATGTTTATGAGTAAATTTTAAAATATCAAAATATTTTACGTATGATTAGTTGTAATCCGTAGGTGATGTCGAATATGCTATATTTCTATGGCATGTGTGGCTTGCTAAAAGAGTGTTTGCTTCAGCGCTACTTCAGTAAGGTACTGCTGTGCTCTTTCAACGTACCTGTTTTTCCCCCCTTCTACTGTATTTGGTAGATTGAGTGATGAGTATTTATGTATCTCGACAGGATGTTCGTGGTAGTGTTGAAGTTCCAGAGTCGGATATAGTTCAAGCGTGCAGAAAAGTCAGTGCTTCAGCTTATTTAAAAATCATTTACCTTCATAGCAATTTTATTGTCCTTTTTTCTTCTTGTTTTTTGTGTTTTTTAATTATTGGATTTTCAATTGGCTTTATCTGTTTGATTCACTTGGAAAGTTTACTTCTTCAGTTGCTGGAAGAGAGGCAGAGCTTAAACGTTTGGAGATTTCTTCAAGCAATTAATCGGTAAATAGTGCTGGAGTTGTTTTCTTGTTTTGCCTCCGCAGAGATAAGTGCAATGTATCTTGCTGTGCTGTAACTTTTCTCTTTCACTACTTGCAGGAGACCTGACATAACCGAAGGGTTAAAATCGCTAAGGTGTCGCACGCTTGTTTTTGTTGGGGATAGCTCTCCCTTCCATTCTGAGGCTCTCCACATGACCTCAAAGTTGGACAGGAGATATAGTGCCTTAGTAGAGGTACGTTCACTCTTTTTCTGTTTCGCTTGTTTTTGTACGTTCATCAGTAGACGTGCATACGAATGTGAAAAGAATCAGAAGAGCGTGTTCAATAGAGGATGGACGGGGTTGTTAATGCAGGTCCAGGCTTGTGGATCCATGGTAACAGAGGAGCAGCCACATGCAATGTTGATACCAATGGAATACTTCTTCATGGGGTATGGCCTGTACCGGCCATGCCATTTCAGCGACAGCCCTAGGAGCCCGCTCAGCCCATCTTGCATCTCCCCGGAGCTTCTCTCCCCAGAAAGCATGGGCTTGAAACTAAAACCAATAAAGACCCGTGTTTCACTCAGCCTATGACTGTTGGAAGGCAGGCAGAAAATTGGAAACAATGCAGTGCGATGTGAATGTTAGGTTCCGAGAAGTTGCTTCATTTTTTGGTTATTTGTTATATCTTTCATTGATTAAGAAGGAAAAGGGTAGACGAAGAAGAAGCGGCCGGAGAGAGAGGGGGAGAGGTTGGTGTAGATACAGAAGGGGATTATTAAATAGTAGGGAGGGAGGAAACTTTGGTTCATTCTTTTGTAGTCAGTCATAAGGAGGGAGACTTTCATTCTTGAGAAATGCTAAGGGGACTCCCAAGTAGAACTCTCAATGGACTTTCTGCCACCTCACAGTCTAACGTCAATTCCCGTGTCAATATTATAAAACATTATGCTAAAAACATAAGGTGACAGAGAGTCTATAAAGAGTATTTTGAGAGTCCCCTTAGCGTTTCTTTTCATTCATTCATTTGGGAGATGTCTCTGTAAATTTCATAAACAAATTGGATTGACTTTTTATTTATGATGACGAGAAATCAATAACAAAGGGGGAGAACTCTTCCCATTCATTCACACAATCTCTCTCTCTCTCTCTCTTATTATGTGTCCAATCATTAATACATTTAGGGGGCGTTTGTTGCGCCGGACTATCTCGGACTGGATTAGCTTCAAGGACTAAGCTGGACTGGCTTAGACTAGACTAAACTGGACTAACTTAGTGAAGCGTTTGGTGCAGTATTGGACTAAGAAGCTGGATAATAACAAATTCTAATATTATATTATTTAATATATAAATTATTAATATTTTATTATGATCTTATCTTTTTCTCCATCTTTTCTTACCATTTCCGTTCCACTCTTTTCCTTTTCTCTCATCGTCCCACCCTCTCCCTCTTTTTTCCTCTTAGACCCCTCAATTCATGTCTCTTTCTCATTCCTGGTCAAACTCCTTATTGATTCCAGTCTCTATTTCTTTATCCTCCCTTCCTCTCTAGCTATGCGTTGTTCGAACAGAACCTCACGACTTCAATTTTCCCGACGAGTTGCAGGTTTCCCGATGTGTTTTTCGGCCAACCCTTGTTAAATTGGATGAAGTTAGCACCGCCAAAAAATTCATCACCATCCCTGGACCGAGATCTTAGCTTTGAATGCTCGAATCTGTCATGGATTTGAAGAAGTCCAAACAGGCCGAGACTTCCAGGCCATTTTCCGGCCACATTCGATCACATTTTAGCCTTGATTCAGGTAAAATCGTAATCTTGTCACTCCCAGCTTCAATTTGGTATATTTTATATGAAAGTTGGTTGTGAAATGGATATGAAAGAGGGTCGGAAAGTTAATGATTGATCTAGGTGACCGGAGATGATGAGGAGTCTGAAGGGAATGGTCGTTGAGCATGGCGAGGATGAGAAAGAGAGGATAGTCTTAGCTAGTCCCATGGTTATTGGGGGGTCTCGCTAAGACCTATTAGTGAAGGGTTTTGTCCATGCTAGTCCTCTTTAGTCTCATTAGGGGGCGTTTGTTTGCCCTCACTAAGTTGGACTGGACTGGACTGGACTAGCTATTAATCCAATACTGTGTTTGTTCCATGCTGGGACTAACATTAATGAGACTAAAGGGGATTAGCATGGACAAAACCCTTCACTAAGAGGTCTTAGCGAGACCCCTCAATAACCATGGGACTAGCTAAGACTATCCATCTTTCTCGTCCTCGTCATGCTCAACGACTACTCTCGACAGACTCCTCGTCATCTCCGATCACCTAGATCAATCATTAACTTTCCGACTCTCTTTCAGATCCATTTCACAACCAACTTTCATACAAAATATACCAAATTGAAGCTGGGAGTGACAAGATTACAATTTTACCTGAATCGAGGCCAAAATGTGGTCGAATGTGGCTGGAAAATGGCCTGGAAGTCTCGGCCTGTTTGGGCTTCTTCAAATCCATGACAGATTCGAGCATTCAAAGCTAAGATCTCGGTCCAGAGATGGTGATGAATTTTTTGGCGGTGCTAACTTCATCCAATTTAACGAGAAAATGGTAGGAAAAAATGAAGAAAAAGATAAGATCATAATAAAATATTAATAATTTATATATTAAATAATATAATATTATAATTTGTTATTATCCAGCTTCTTAGTCCAATACTGCACCAAACGCTTCACTAAGTTAGTCCAGTTTAGTCTAGTTTAAGCCAGTCCAGCTTAGTCCTTGAAGCTAATCCAGTCCGAGATAGTCCGGCGCAACAAACGCCCCCTTAATGTTAGTCCCAGCATGGAACAAACACAGTATTGGACTAATAGCTAGTTCAGTCCAACTTAGTGAGGGCAAACAAACGCCCCCAACGATCTTAAATCATGAATACAGTTGGCTTGTGCCTTGTAGTTCAAGTAGTTACGGGCATTCATCCTTGCACACGAAATTCAGTGTTCGAGTGCCCGTTCCTCCAAGGTATTCATCCGTCACCGTCCTGGTGACACCTGTAAAGCCCTTTACTTTGATTTGTTTGGTAATTGAAAACTGTTTCAGACAGATGGAATGTGACTTAATTGGTCTTGGAATGTCACCTGCTTTACGGAGCCTCTTGTTGCACATTTGCCCAAGATCCTCGTCCGCGGTTCGATTGCATAACAAGCTTAGTCTAGTTTCCAGGTCACTATTTCTCTCTGCCCATTTAAAGCCTTTGTGTTGTGCTGCTCTGGATGTGATTGATTCGAACCCCATTAGTGTTTCGTCTCTTGAAAATGCCCCAAACTCTGAGACTCAGCTTCGTCAAGTAAGATTAGATAATGGCAATTCATCTAATCATGAAATAGCAGGGAACAATGTGAAAACTGCGATACCAAAAAGAGGCTTATGCGTTATTCTGGGATGCTTCGTACCTGTGTTTCGCTAAGGTCTTTGAATGAGGGGAAGGCTGTTCATGGGCAGGTGATAAAAGAAGGGATTGATCCGGATTTGCATTTGTGGGTTTCGTTGGTTAATGTTTATGCAAAATGTGGGGATGCTGGGTACGCACGTAAAGTTCTTGATGTGATGCCTGAAGGGGACATTGTGTCGTGGACTTCTTTAATTCAAGGGTTTGTAGTTGAAGGTTCTGGTGTTGATGCTGTTAAATTGTTCTGTGAGATGAAGAAAGATGGTACAAAAGCAAATGACTTTGCGCATTGGCGACTGGATTGAAAGCATGTTCTTTGTGCTCCAATTTAGGTTTTGGGAAACAGTTGCATGCTGAAGCAGTGAAACTGGGGTTGTTTTCAGATGCTTTTGTTGGTTCTGGTTTAGTCGGTCTTTATGCAAAATGTGGTGATATGGAACTTGCAGATAGAGTGTTATTTTGTATGCCTGAGCAGGATGTGGTATCATGGAATGCACTGCTGAATGGGCATGCTCAGGAAGGTGACAGAAATAAAGTTTTGGAATTGTTTTGCAGAATGACGGAATCAAAAATCAGGTTGAGCAAGTCCACCTTGTCCACTGTCCTCAAAGGTTGTGCGAACTCGGGAAATTTGAGAGGAGGTCAGTTTTTGCATTCTCTAGTAGTCAAAATTGGGTTTCAGATGGATGAATTCTTGGGTTGCAGTCTCGTTGAAAAGTATTTAAAGTGTGGGATGGCTGTCGATGCTGTAAAAGCATTCAGGATGATTGAAAAACCCTACAATTTTTTCTCTGAGCAATGTTTTCGGGATCACTCCTACAATTGAGCATTATGCTTATATGCAGTGGGGATCTAGGATTTCAAGATCGGGGGTCCCAGGATAAAAGTTCAAAAAAAATATATATTATACTAGTTTGGTTCTATAGCACTATTTTTTATTGAATTTGGTTAATTGAATAATCAAAATTAATCAACCACATCAAGTGGTTAAGTGGTAAGGACGCGGATTTCGGCTCTTAAAATACAAAAAACAGGGAGGTCCCGGGTTCGAGGCTCCAAGCTAGTGAGTCTGCTTGACTGTGGCCAGGAGAAAGCTGAAATTCTTCTGTGAAATGAATTTGGAAGAAATAAAATTAGGCAGCTAGAGGTGGTGGAACGGCAAATGGTGCTCCGGGATGGGATAACCTGAGTTTAAAGTTGGGAGGTTGCAACGATTTGGAGGATTAAAACAAAAATTAGAAACCTTTTCTTCTTCTTTATAAGCACTACTGCATGCACATCCATGGAGGCAACTTGCCTCTCTGCAGCACCTGCCCAAATTGTTGGAGGGTCCCGTAGGTCGATCACAAGTGTTTCTTCGGACTTCCAGAGGATCCCGGGACCTCCCGGGTCCCTATATGGATATGTCCATGCTTGTATGGTTGATATTCTCGGCAGGGCTGGAAAGTTTAATGAGATTGAAAGCTGCATCGAGACAAAGGAACTAACACCATATGCCATTATTTGGGAGACTGTTCTTGGGGCTTGCAAGATGCATGGAAATGTCGAATTTGGTGAAACAGCTGCAAGAAAGCTTTTTGAGCTTAAACCTCATATGGATTCTCCATATATCTTGCTATCTAATATCTTTGCAATCAAAGGCAGGTGGGACGATGTTAGCAAAGTCAGGAAATTAATGCAGAGTCAGGGTGTCAAAAAAGAACCTGGTTGTAGCTGGGTTGAGGTTGATGGTCAAGTCAACATTTTTGTCTCTCAAGATGGTATGCATCCAAGAATCGGGGATATTCATTTGAAATTGGAGGAACTAGGCAAAAAGCTAACTTCATTATGTTATATACTGGAAACAGAAGACGTGCTTCATGATATCACTGAAAGAGAAAAAAAAAAGAACATCTCCAATATCATAGTGAAAGGTTGGCTCTTGGTTTTGCCCTCATAAGTACCAATCATCCAAAAACTGTTCGGATTTTTAAAAATCTACGCATCTGTGGCGATTGCCATGACATTATGAAGCTCGACTCAGATGTCACAAATCGGGAAATAGTTGTTCGCAACATCAGGCGGTTTCATCATTTTAGGAATGAAACTTGCTCCTGTAAGGACTTCTGGTGATATGGCATTAGAAGCTCTATGACCTGTATAGGGGGTTCACCCACAGCGAATTCCAATCACTTTCCTAGTTACGAACTGAGCCACAGTTTCATACCGAAGGAACTCCGCCCTAATCTTATCAGAGTACTGCTTCTCAACATATTATTTGATTCTTTTCTCAAAGCATAATTAGAAAATTAAAAAAATTATGGTTCCCAATCTATTGATAAAAATTAGCAGGTATGGCCCGTTCAACGTCCTTTTTGTCCTGAAGTGGCAGCTTCCTGCGCTAAATTTGCATATATCATATCTCAATTCTCCTTGCCACGAGGTCTGTAGATGGTTTTCGCTGAGTGCATTTCTATTAGCTTTGTTTCTAGAATCTTAAATGTTTTTGCAAGAATAATTGAATTGTTCGTTTCTCTTCAGAACTTCACCATAGTTCTTGCTGTTGGAAGCTGCTTCGATTCTCTTGATGATCTTGTGCTTCTGTTAAGGACATGGCAGAGTCCTCGAGGTTGTCAACTTTTTTGTTCAAACCATGTTATAAACTACTTCCGTCTCTTCATTAATCATGGTAGTGTATGTAAATGAGTTTAGGTAAACGTGCTCACGGGTGTTCCCTATATGCAGAGCATCCGCTCGGCAGGTGGAGTGATGAGTATGCTATGCATCTCTACAGGAGGTTCGTCGTTCTTCCGAAGTTCCACAATCAGATACAGTTCGAGCAAGCAGTGCCCTGTCTAAAAATGAGTTGCCTGGTTAGTGAAGTTGATAGAATGGCACATCCAAGCACGTCTGAACAGTGTACTTCACCTGTGTAAAAGAAAAGCCTGGCAGCTGTCTAAGCGCACGAGGCCCGGGTTGTGTCGACCGAACAGCAAGTCAGTTACAAGCACTTTAAATCTGCAACTGCTCGGAGTTTATGCTCCCTGAAGTTGGAAAGCCACGTGCTACTTAAAGGTCCGCCTCGAAACCCCGACGGTAGAATCCAGACCATTCAGAAAGTATGCAAGAAAGTTACTTCGCGGTCTGTTGAACAACAATCACAAGTTCCCGACCGCCGCTCGGCACCAAGATTAAGCTGCTACTGAGTTTTATTGTATATATTCATTGGATACTAGACACTAGTAGCCCTCATGGGTGTTGTAGATCTTTAATCCAATTTCATTTATTATTTTACCATTGATTACGTTAAGTTTATCTTACATTGCCGGTCCCAAGCCCAGATAAAGGAGGAGGGGGAGGGCGTCAAGTAGTCGACAGTCGGCACTTCTATCTTACGTCGAATCTTTGGGATGCGATCATACCAACTCACATGCACCGGATCTTATATGAACTCCAAAGTTAAGCGAGTTTTGGGCGAGAATAGTGCTAGGATGGATAACCTTCTGGGAAGTTCTCATGTTGTTTCCCCCCACAGCCGACCTCACCTAGTGGAAAAAGGCTTAGAAGAAGAAAATTATATTTTTACCCTGATCATTTTGACTGGTTAAATCTTCATATATTGGAGCTTACAACCTAATGACACTTCCAAGGCAGTTTGCCCTCCGGTCGAATATTCCCCTTCATTCGACCGGAATTCCCAAACTCGAACTAGAATGAATGACTTGATGTCAAAGAACAATACGACATTTTCAAGCTTCCGACTCAAGTAGCACCAAAAATTTATGCTTCACCAAGATTTTTATATTCCTAACAATTGCACAATAAATGTTATAGGTTCCATCAAGAAAAATAAGTTACACCAAAAATGTGACATGCCCCATCTAATAGCTACTAAAACAACAACAAAACAGGAACGGGACAGGGTCGCCCGACGGAATTACGCTTTTTCATGGATCTCCCAAGCAATGACCTGATCTTCTCAGTCTGTATCCTCATCAGAAGGTGGATTCTCAGCCTCACTCCCACTGTTTAAGCTATCATTGTTGATAAGTGAGGGCCTCCCACCAGCTGAGTCGGCATTAGGACGAAGGTCATACTTCACAAACTTTATCTTCTCTTTCTTCTCAGCTTTTTTCCCTTTCCGCTTTCTTCCTCTTTTTTCCGACGATGACATTGTATGCGTGGCAGCTATGGATTCGTTCACCCTTTCATCTTCCTCATCTCTATGTTCATCTTCTCCCTTGTTATCTATGTAAAAAAGAAGATCATCATCCACTTTCTGTTCCTCCAAATTAGAAGCAGGCCGCAAGGTGTCTGATTTAGAAATATCAAGAGCCAGTTTGGTACGAAACTTCGCAATGCTATCATCAAATAATTTTAAGCCCCGATCCTCAAGGTTAAGAAGCCATTCTGGAGAATTAGATCAATATTAGACAGAGCTTTAACAAAAACATGCAAAGTTGATTCACCACAAAGGGGAACAAGTATAATCATTTACTTATAAGAGCTTTAGGCGAAGTTCCCACTGATTTGATTGCACCATCATCCACATAAATCTGTTTCTTTACCCATTTAATTATTTGAGAAGGTAACTGTGAACCAGAAAATGCAGTTACATAAGAGACGGCTCTCCTCTGATCCCCGTTCTCCCTGAAGCAAGCCAGTAGTGAGATTTTCCAAAAGCGTTCCATTACAATCTAAACAAGAAGATGAAATGTAATTGTTCTTTACGTACCTAAAATACTCCACTGCTTCATGAGCAACAATCAATCTTTCCATGGCAATACTTTTCATGAGCTCAGCAGGTATGTAAATCGCTCTCTCAGGGTCAGGGTTGAGGAATGAATACTCGACCAATACGATAGCATCATACAGCACTTTTCTCAACAAAACTTCACCTTCAGAACTCTGCATATAGAAATTTAACGTGTTATGCTCTCTAATTTTAAGATCACATCAATGGATAGAAAACTACCGAACGGAAAGGAGGGATACTAACCAATAGAGAGGTAAAAGGCAAAGTCTTCTCCAGCAGCATCCTCAGAAGGACATCTATGTACACACATATAAGCATGTTAGAACAAGGCATGCAGTAACTTGAAATCAATGAAATAGAAGGAATGTATAAATTTATATACGACAGCACGAAAACCAGCAAAGCAGCAACATAAAAAAGTTCATACACGATAACGATAATAACACTTAATCTTAATGTCTTCCCTCAACATTTTCGGCGCAAACGATCCTCAACCATTTAAGTTTATGCAGAAATCATGCCTTCACTATAATAAACCATGTAATGTACTCTAAATAACACTAACCGAAAAGGTAACAGTTCCCAAACTTTGTAATGGAACCGATAGCCCAAGTGCTTAACTCCTTCTCCAACTCCTTCCCCGAAGTCCCGAATTTGAAATCCAAGCAGAGTTTCAACAAAAACACCTCCGCAATAACAACTCCAGCCAAGTAACTCACATCACATTCTCCCTCACTAAGCCCTCCAAAAATGTCACTACTCACTAAAGGCAAGAATGACTCCAACCCCTCATTTGAGTTCATCCAAACACGAATTAAGCCCGAAAAAGGCGTAATCAAACTGTCACTCTCACCCGAATCTTCGAAAGAACACAGATTTATATAGCCAAGAATCGTTCCCACAAAATCCCTAACCTTTCTCATCACTTTCTTCTCTCTCTTCAATGACAAGTCTCTCTTAAACAAATCAACACACACATTGTAAACCTGGCGAACCACCGGAGCGAGCAGCGCGACACTCTTGGAAGGACCGAAAGAAGCAGAGGACATCGACAGCAGCTGAAACAAGTCCTCTGCGGCCGATACACGGTCCAAAGGGTCGTCTTTCGGATGATTCCGGCTGCGAAAGGCCAATGCCGCGTAGACCCAGGTTGATTCGAGAGGCGGGTCGACTCGAGCTTGCATCAATTCGTAGAATTCCTCTGTAAAGTCGGAGAATTTGGGGTTTTGCTTGGGAATTTCGGATAAAAGGTTTTGGATTGATTGGGTTAGCTTGAGGTCGTAGTTTTTGCCGATTAGGGTTTGGATGTTTGCTGTATTTGGGGAATTTGTGGAGCCGGTTAGATCGAGAGCCATGGTTGAATGCTGAAATGCGACCAATTTGTTTCAGTGAGGAATGTGATGAAGAAGGAGATGTGGCGAAGAAAAACCCTAATTCTATGACAAGTTCGGTTGAGAAGCCAACGGTCTAGGGTTTAGGGGGATACCGCCGTTTCATATTACGACATGTCGTATTAGTTAAAGTGTCTGATAAGATACTTTGGACTCATTTGAAAAATGATTGAAAATGATTCTGATAAAATGATTATTGAGTTCCAAAAGCATTTGAAATGCATTTTGGAAGAATAATGAAAACGATTTTGATAAAATGGTTCTTGAGTTTCAAAAGCATTTGAAATGCATTTTGAAAGAATAATCAATTTGCATGAAACACTTCTAACATTTTTACGTCATTCACTTATATTTGTACTCAAGACTAATTCCAAAAACGCTCTAAAAAAAGTTCTTTTATGTGCTTGTCGATAAAGCCCAGTGATTTTACCAAAACCTCTCATCTACTTCTTTTTAAAAAGTGATTTTGGCCTTCTCAAAATCTCTTATAAGTTAGTTCCTAATTTATCAACTATCGAAAGAAAAAAATTTAACTATTCATGTTGTTTATACAACAACGAATGTGACTGTTACACTGTCTTGTAGCATTACTAATTCAATTATCATAATATTGTGAATTGTATAGTTAATACTTTTCTAACTTAAGGTATATTATTATTTAATAAATAACTACACGTACAAAAATGAGGATCGATTAGTGGTCATTAGTTTGGTTTTATGATAATACGTTCCTTGTTTGAGTTTTTGCCTGAAAATAATTACACATGTTAAGTATAATTGGAATTGAACATCACGTGATAGAATAATAATCAAAATTGAAAAAAGGAATTTAATCTAAAAGCTATATTACATTGCTATGAAAAATGCTAGCATTCTTTAACCCTTGTCTATGAACTTTCTCATTTGAACAAATGTCCGGTGTCATTTTTACACAAAAACCAAGTTATTTAATGACACATGGTCCATCTTTATTTCCTAGTCAAAAGTAGCTCCGACAATATCTTGCTTAATCTGTTAACTCGATATAAAACGATACGAAAATAACAGATTTCGAATTAACCTATTAACGAATCGTATAGTTATTTGGTCATTTGTTAAGAATTCGATAAAATATCGTTTATCAGATCTAGACATTAAACATGATAATTTCTTGCTTAACTTATTAACTCAACATGAAACCACACGAATCGTTAATAAATCGAATTCTTATTGACTTACTTGTGAAAACCTATTAAGATAGCACATTTAACACGACGTAATTTATTAAAATAAAATAAACACAAAAATAATACGATAACCACACCGCGTTTGTAAGACTTAGTCAAACGTATTAAAGTACACGGTGACATTTGATAAAGTGGGATGGTTCAAGGCAACCATGGGACGTGTCATCTCATACTCTATTGGTTGAAAAGGGGAACCCACCACATACGTTACTCGGGCTAGCCAATCAGATGCTGAGAAACACGTAAAGCAGCAAAGCAAATCGATTTCACGACTGCATATTTATTATACTCAACAAAACGAAAGATTGATCTGCCAAAATAAACAATAAAGATCGTTTCTTTTCTGGTGAAAACTTCTCAGAAGATCCACCAACTTAACTGCACATCTCACTCTTTGATAGACAACTCTCCCTTCTTCTTCAAATTCTAGAGAGAGGAATAGAGGAGGGGAGAGAGAGTTATGGCGAAGCTGAAGCAAATTCTAGTGGCCATCTCAGTCTTGTTGGCCGTGTTAGCGTGCGTGCCAATCTCTGAGTGTGCTAAGAAGCCGGCGGCCGGCGCCAGGAAGGAAGACATTCCTTTCATCAAATGCCAAGTCTGCGAGAAGCTCGCAGTTCAGCTGCATGGGCAAGTCGAGAAGAAGCGAGCTGAGATCGCCCCAAAGAAGGTATTGAGATTTCGAAGTGCTTTTGTTTGAGATTTCGATTAATGGGTTTTGTTCCTTGTGTTGAATTTGATTGTGGGTAGTTTGTTTTTATGGCGATAGATCTCGGAGTATCAGATTATTGAGATTTCGGAGAATGTGTGCAATTTGAAGAAGCAGGAAGCGGATTGGATTTTGCAGATTGATATAGTTGAGAAAGGAGACAAGTTGGAGGTATGAATTTGCATTTGTTTTGGGTTTGATTTCGGTTTTAGACCTGCTTGATGAATTGGTGTTTGTGAAATTCTATGCTTTTGCTTGATACGGTGTTTTCGAAGTTCTGTGCTTTTGCTTGATACTGTGTTTTCATTAGAGAAATTATTGCTTTAGTAGTATATGATGATATCGGGGATAGATGTTATATGAAGGGATAGATGTTATATGAAGGGAGAACCTTTGTTTCTCTGCGGGTTTATAACTCGCGTATGACAATGTCATGCAGTTGTACATACTTAAGTTGGGTATCGTTGTAATACACTTTGTTGTTCATTGTCCTTACATGCTAAATCATTTGTGACTTTTCAGTTGGTGGATTTTAGTAGTATTTGATGATATCGGGGATAGATGTTATATGAAAGAACCTTTGTTTCTCTGCGGGTTTATAGCTCGCGTATGACAATGTCGATGCAGTTGTACAAACTTAATTTGGGTATCATTTACAACGACACTTTGTTGTTCATTGTCCTCACCTGCTAAATCATTTGTGACTTTTCAGTTGGTGGATCAAGGTTCAGAAGGACAGTGTAACTCCGAATGCAAGACAATCGAGCGAGCTTGTCAGGAGGTGAGGTTTTCTGGGTAACTTCGCTTCCTAATACATTGTTCCTTGAAGCCAATCTAGGTGGATTCACTGCCTTTTCAGTATAATTGACTGAGAGAAGTCAACTGTCAAATGATTTCTTAATTTAACGTGATGTCTGTGATATGTTAGCATAACAATTGATCCTTTCGTTTGATGTTGGCCTTCCGCGTTGATCTTAATTTACTGTGTTACAATTAAACTAAGCGCTAATCCGGAATATTGCAGGTTTTGGGGTATTCTGATACTGATGTTGCCGAATATCTATATACATCCAAGCCTGACCTTGGTTCATTGGTTAATTATCTATGCAAAGACCTAACTAAAGCGTGCAGTACCAAGCCTCCCCCAGTTCCTAAGGTAACTGCTTTCTTTGACTTGATATTCAATTCAGTTCATTCTTAGTGCAATGTGCTTGCAAGGATCATGCTATATTGTGCTTTTCCATCTAATTACTTTTATTTTTTATATGATCTATGCAACTATCGTGCATTTCTATCTAAGTACTATTATTTTGGATATGATCTGTGCAACTATAGGCTCATGCGTGACCAAAGATGGTATCTTTTTTATCCATAACCGATAAAATTTGATACCCTAGTAATATTGACATGGAGATTTGTGGATGCTGCCTTGCATGCATGTTAATCTCTAGTCTCTACGCGCAACTTGTTCCTTGAGCAAGACAATTACTTCTGATACTCATAATAGTTTCTTGTGTGTCCCAGAATAGGATTCCGGGGGAAGCTTTCATGGCCAAGTCAGAGAAAGAAGCTGAAATGGAAAAGATAATGAAATCTATGGAGGTAATTGTTCTTGCATTGCTGAGAAACTTCACTTTGGTGACACTAGTGTGCTGAATTTTGAGCTATATTCTGCTTTTCCGTTCTTCAGGGCATGCCAGGAGCCCCAGGCATGAAAATGTACTCGAGAGATGATTTGATGAACATGAATAATTTTGGTGGCGAAGATGCTGATGATGAAGATGATGACGATGATGAGACTCGGTTACCCTCGAATTTGGTAAATACAAAATTCCAACCTTAAAAATTCTCCAACCAAGATCACATTGTTTCTTTCGGCGTTTAAAAATTTTCATTTAACAGGGAAAAATAATGAGAGAAAAAGAGAGCGCAAAGAATGACTTGAAACAGAAGATCACCACCGGAATCGCGAAGACTAGAGAGGCACTAAAGAAGCATGCAAACAAAGTCTCTAACTGGGTACGGCAAACGTGGCGGGGACTGAAAAAGCCGGCTTCGAAGAAGAGTACAAAGGGAAACAAGGCAGAGCTTTAGAACACAAATCACAGATTCATACGAGTTGGTAGTAGAGGGTAATCAGGTTTTTGTTAATTGTATCAATATGCTTTTGACATTTAAGTGGCAAATTTGAGGAAAAGTTGGAAACAAAACTGCTTGAGGTTTTATACTACGTTGTTTTCATCGAAATTGTATCAGTTTCTGCTACATCGCTCGAGTTTTCGCGTTCTTTTCTAGTCAAGAAAGATTAACATAATTCGAATGAAAAGTCACTTCGATTGAAAATCCTAAGATCTTAAAGAACAGATGAGATTTATAGAACCGCACGAGATCAAGTAAAATAGATCAATTCAAAACCTTTTAGCACCAAAATTTTGACATTACAATTTAAGAAATGAATCATTAGAAGCACATAGGTTACAATGCTGCCTCCCATCTGGGAGGCAACAGTCCACAACCCTCGAGTCTGTTGCAATCATGGATTGCTTTCTTGATGGAACAATAACAAAACGCAACTTAGCGCATTTTGTAGCATTGAACCCTCGAGACTGAGCATCGTTGACCATTTAACGAATACTTGAGCATTATGTCAATATCACGGGGATTCTTTTTGTTTTGCGCCACAGTCATGCTTCCGACAATTGACTCTCCTTGACATACTGTTAGCACATCTTCCAGGTACAGGACAGTTTGCTTCCAGTGAGTAGACCGTGATCTTGGCCCTGCATTACATTTCACTTTGTCAGTAAAGATATGATTACCGACAGAGTAGGAGGTTGTAAAAAAACATAAGAGTTTACTTCATCCGAAAACACCACATCATAGTTAACTGAAAAAACATGAGTTGCAGAACACCACACTGAGGAAATTTAGCAAATTTACTAAATGGACAAGAAGAATGCTTTAGAATACGTAGGAAACCTATGAACACCAGAGAATAAAAATAAGAGGTAAGGCACAAGGATATTGACCTGTGGAGAAGCCCATCAATTTATGACACTTCGTAAATGAAACATCAAAGTAGGCTACAAGAGCATGAACGAAATCGTCACGTTCAGCAACAAGCTTGAAAGGGGCTGTGAAGGAAGCATCTCCCGAAGTCATCTTGGATATATCCATTGTCTGAATGAAGAAAACCGAAGAATATTAGTGGAAACGATTGACAGCGTAAAGAGGGGAAAGAATTAATTCATGTAGTGCAGCAGGGTGAAAACAGGATATGTGTTTCCCACCTTGAGTAGCTGACTGTTTGTAACAATCTGGTTTTGGTCAACGGTGTCCACAAGGGGCTCCATCATGGCTTGCTTCTTGATGCAGCTCATGTCAAAGCTATAAACATTGTTCCAAACTGGAATAACATGAAACAATAGGTAAGGAGCAAAAAATCAACAAGATGCACCGCAAGCTAAATGTACATTTGTGTGACCATTTGAACCTCCACAGATGATAAACTGGATACGCAGACATACATTCTATCTTGTCCTCTTTGTACTCTGCATCCTCAATAGCTGTCAAAAACAGAGACGCTTTGTCTGGCAGTAGAATGCCATCATCTACCTACAAACAAGCAAACGACAAAACATTCAAAAAAACTATGCCATGATCCATATTTTCTATGCAATGATCAGCAAGTAAAATTATTGTTTTGGAGCGCAAAACACTACAACTGCAATGGACTATATCCCTCAAAAAGGATCACAAGAACCTAAGCCACACCCAACTGAATGAATAGTTTGCATGAGGTTTAGGTATTCTTGACCAACATATCACACACAACAAATTTGGAATGTAAATACTACTTACAAGCCATTTATCACGAGCATAGAGGACCGTATTTAACATATTCTCAAACAACAAGAAATATCCCATCCATTCAGAGATAATTATATCCACTTTAGGGACGGGAAGCTCAAGTTCTTCAATCTTCCCCTTCAGAACTGTTATTACTGCATTTATCAAACAATGAATGAGTAAGCAGAATACTCAGTTTGTCAAAACAATCTCAAGGGATTGAACAGAGCTACATGCATGTATGATCTTCAAAAACTTTACCATTAGAATATCCGTTAGTTTCAACAATCTCTTTTGCCATGTCAGCCATGTCGGAGCACTCTACCTGTGGGTAAAATAATTTGTTAAATCAATAATATTAAGGAGACACAACCAGACTACATTACAAATAGGAAAGTACTATGCATTCAAAGAAATTGATTTGTTCACAACATTTTCATTAACAAAAACACACCGCATAAACATGCTTTGCACCCGCTTTTGCACAAAACAGGGACAAAATTCCAGTCCCAGCTCCCACGTCAAGAACAATCTTGTCCTTTATTAGAAACTTATTCTGATAGATAACATTCTGATATGTCTTAGTCCTCACTAAATCCTTCAACATTTCCTGCAACATAATAACAGTCAATGAGCACACAATCGCTGTCAGCAAAAGGTTACAAGAACGAAATACAGAACCGGTTTGCATCCAAGCGCAATGCACTTACTTCATGAATACCTGCAATCAAAAAGAAAACTCAAAGATAAGCCTTTCGAAGCATCATCGAAACAGAACAAGATTAGATTAAAAAATATAAATCAAAGCATCGATATCTTGAGACTCGCTCTTTTACTTGCTGCCATTAGCACTTAAAATCACAGCTCCTAATCAACTAAAACAAACCCAATATCTAACTTCGAAAACAAAATCCAACCAAGGTCGAAACTTTCCAAAACCACACCCGAGTCCGGAACAAAATGCAAGCAAATTCGATATCGCTCTATTACTTGCTTCCATTGCACCTAAAAGCCACGTTCCCAATCAACTAAAACTAGCACAACAGTGTTAACTTCCAAAATCAATGCAGCCAAGTTCGAAACTTTCCAAACCACACCGAAAACCCAATCACGAAAACAAAAAATCCCCCGTTTCCAGTCCCATTATCTAAGTTTCCAGAACATCCAAACAAAAACCCAGAAGCCAAAAACAGAGAATCGAAGAAAGAATGCCTTTTTCTTTACCAAAGTGAGAGTAGGAGTCAAAGTAATAGTCGGCGCTGGTCTTTCCATCGGCTTCGACGAAGGAGACCTCCGGCTCGCCCATTGAGTCATCGGCGGCCTGGTGGAGCTTGGGGTCGCACATGGACTCGTCGTGGTTGGAGCTCTCGGAGACGTCTTTGACAGCTTCGTCGAGGTGGCCGAAGCGCGCAGCCGCGGAAGTCTGGTTGCTACTGCTGCCGCTGTTGTTGGTGTTCTTTCGGCGACCCATTGACACTCGATTTAGGGTTTTGCGAGGGGTTTTTGAGTACTTACAGGTCTCGCAGATTGAAGCTTTTATAAAGTTTAGAGATTTTTTTTTTTGTTTCCAAAAGTGGTAAAGCGAGGAGTTGGTGGTCGTTATCCACTTCAAGTGGCGCGAGACTTCGGTCCATGCTGATGAAACGACGTCGTTTGAAGTTCCATGTACAAACAACCGTCACACTTAAGTAGATTAAAGTTTTATATAACTGCTTACATGCTTATTAGAATTCGTTAGTGTTTTAAACAACTCAAAGTCATTTTTTAGGAAAAAAAAATATTTTTAGGTTTCAAAAATATTTAAAAGATGTTTCTCGCAAGAAATATCAGTTTTCTAATTCTAGTAGTAAGCACTTAATGTACTTTTTAAGAAGTCACTTGCATTTTTATTAAAAAATAATTCAAAAAACATTTTCAATCATTTTAAAGGAAATTCCAAATGAGTCCTTAATGAGGCTGTAATCATTTGTTTGAAATACATTACAATTTCTTATAAATTGAAAATCGCTTTAGCCCTTTAATGTGTGGACATTTGTTTGTTTATTGGAGTGTATTATCTATACATCCATTTTTACTTCCTACATACCTTTCCCAATTTTCGACTGTCGAGTTAAATGAATTGAAGAAGATCAAATGATAAATTTTAAAAAGGGATGTGCGAGAATTAAAAATGAATATGTGGATAACACCAACCTATTTATTTAGTAATAGTTATATAACAAAACACTTTATAATTCAAATGAATTTTTGCACAGAAAATCTTCCATCGATAACCTAATAAATGATTAGTTCAAATCATGAGAAATATTGTACCCAGGGTCCAAATAAGTGATTATCATCTTAATAAGTTGCTAACTATTAGTGCTTGAGCGCTCATGTGAAGCTTTCAGTGCCGATTATGATCAACATTTTGTTAGTAAGTTGAATCAAAACTGTACAAAATTTATCACAAGTGAGAAATTTTCAAAACGTCACGGAGAGATTTACAGCAGAGAGAATTACATATATCTTTCCTACAAGTGTTTAACTTTGGAATTCTTTTTGTTTAATGAAGAAAATAAATATTGAAAAGCAAAACAATATTTGAGAGAGGATGCTTTGTTTCATGACAAATAGAAGAACTCAGATCTTGGAGAGCACATCAAAGTCACTCATTGCAGTTGTTTTGTCCGGCCCTTTCGCCGGAAGAAGATTTATCAAGCGGCCATGGCGCCGCTTCCATTACTGCTTCGATCTCCGATGTTTCCCGAGGAACCTTTGTCATGTTCTTACAACCGTTAGCCGTGACAAGCTACGAAATGCAGAACCAGGTATGAGCACACATTAACAGTACAGAGAAAACAAGACATGCATGAAATCACAAAGGCAAAGGCAGGTGAAGTGAGTTCAGCAGCATGAACGGTTTAAAGAATAGCATAGGAACAAGTACATTCCGGTCCAGAAGAACACAACGAAATTTAACCACCGGGAAAAGGAACGCGGGTCAAACATAAGTAAAAGGAATCATAGGGGTTCAGAAAATGGGGTACCACATCGCTTTCAATTCGGACTCCACCAGAACCTTTAAATCTATTAGCTGCTTCATAATTGAAGAACTTACAAGTATTTGAATTTCCCATGGCTGGAGTCAACAAAGCATCAATGAAGTAGCAACCAGGCTCGACTGTTATCACCTACGGAACAACCCACCAAGACAAAGCGTCAAATGCAACAGAATTCGTTTTAGCCAGGGTTCAGAAAATAAAGATTCAGAACACCGGCGAAAAGATTTAATCCGTATATTAATGGGGGAAAAGGAAAAGAAAACAAGAACGCGAAATTTGATACTAACGATTCCCTCTCGGAGTTCTCTTGTTGTACGTAAAGACTTTAATCCAGGTTCTTTTGACCTCTCCGTTCCCTGGACAAAAGCCATAAGTATTTACAAAATAATTCTGAAAGGTAAACCAGAAAGGAACAGAATAACTTATTGAAAATAACCTTTGGGTAGCCACCAGGATCATGAGTGTCAATACCAAGCAAATGCCCTCGACCATGAGGCATAAAAACAGCACCCAGTTGTTCGACCATCATATCATCAACGGTCCTATAACCAAGAACCATGAGCACCTTATGTAAATTTATCCTTCCGAAACCAGTGACAACTTGCAAGTAATTCGAATACTAGAGTAAATAATTGAGACACAATGATTGTTACCCGACTAGGATGCTCCGTCTCTTCAATGATTCAAGAATAACCTTTTCTGCTAGTCTGCAAATTATAAGGAGGCAAAGAGAATCAGAATGTATATGATATTTGCAAAAGCGTAAATATTCTTTGTAAAACGTAGTCGAATATAGTCATACTTATGCATATCTAGCCAACTTACTCCAGATTTCATTGTAGATATGACTGCATTCTTAGCATCGAGGACAGCCTGCAACAGCAAGATAATTAGAAACAAAAAGTAAATATGTACTAGAAAATGCTACAAAACGTTGAACGCAGAAATATAAATGTTGTGTTAACTAAAGCAGGCACTGCACACCAACCTGGAGTCATAAGCACACATATCATGCGTGTGTGTACACTCGTGCACAAAAAGAAAGAGCAATACGAAAACTTAAAGACACAATCAATGCGACGATAACACTACTGCACTTACATTATATATAAGTGCTTGGTCAGGGGTAAACTTTCCGTTCACCTGCAGATAAAGTTGAAAGAATTAAACAAAAAGGCATCGTCCACACTACCATAAGAAGAGTCTCCTGCTTACTTCTAATTATTACCCTTCAGTTCACAGAACCTCAACATTGCTAAAAGAACAGTTTCAACAAAAATGCACATACTCACGGGGTAAGAACAAGATATGTCAGAACCATAGAAGTTGTATTCAGCTCCCATATCAAGCAATGCCAAGTCTTCATCCTCCAAGATCTGCACAGAAGACGTTATGAATTTTAGCTAATTTTCGTAATTTGACAAAGTACTCAGTAGTGAGGTATAGTGTACCTTGTCATTTGGAGCTGCTGCATGCCCATAATGGAGAACATCACTGTATTTTTAAAAGCAATAGAATTTTTAGCCAATATTTTACAGTTGAGGTTTAACGTCGATATCAATATATTCGTACCTATAATGAAATCAAAATGATCTGTTAAATACTGGAAGCCACCAGATTACTGGAACTACCTCATGGAAACATAAACAATAACTTTGATTACAAAAAGCCTACCTAATATCACCAGTAGCACAAATACATGTGTATGAGCAATGTTCACAGCCACCATACATGTAGGTGTGGTGAAGAAACATGCTTTCCAACTGATACTCGCACATGCCTACCCTAACTTTTCTCATGACCCGGTTAAAAAGAAAATAGCAATCATGACTAAGAAAAAGGGAGTCAAGTTTTGAAATATTTCTAAAGATGTTATAAGAATGAGCCCAAAATCAAGATTTCAAAGTGCACAAAGTTCATGCAGCAGTGAAATAACTGTCCATTCTTAAGCTGCTTCTTGCTATTAGAAGTACGTAACGGGCATGTACTCACAGATATACTTACAACGAAGTTATGCAGAAGTAAGTGTTAAATGGACATTTACTTGTTAAAGACGCATATGATGTTTATACGAAGCACATTTGTGCAATCGAACGTTTTCATAAAAGATTAACTCAACATGAGCTTCAGAGCTTATGTCATTGGCAAACTGGAGAAGGGCAAGCTCCAGATCTGATTTTGTAACATGGCGTTCAGTCAAAACTGGATGCAAGGTAGTCAAATCTGTGTCAAACTTATCAATCCCCTATACAAAGATTAAGAATATATATTAAGTTTAACATTCTACTGAAAGAAGATGAAGGTTTTGTATTTAGTTTAAAACAAACGAAGCTTGTTGCCAAGTCCTTAAAACCACCCAAACTACTGAGGGAAAGATATATACATATTTCTACGGTGGTAATGCTATTAGTAAAGCATTACAGAAAATTGTGTTCAAAAAGGAGAAAGCAACAAGTCATTACCATATATAGTTATTATTAATTTATTTAACTATTCAACCAAACACTAGCACTCTCCAACCTCAGCTTTCTAAACCATCTGAACCAAGACCTTGTGAAACAAGTTTTATTCTGAAAGTACGATTTGAGAACAAAAAAAGGACATTTACCTGAAACTCTGCGGGTTTTGAGAATTGATCACTATCAGTGTTGAGACCATGCAAGAGAAACAATAAAGGTTTACCAGTTCCCTTGTATTTTATTCATCATGTAATACTGTTGTGATCTCATCGGTATAGTATACCGTGCTAACCATATACCTTTCCTGCAAATGTATAGCACAAGTGTGATCTAAAAAAGTAACGACTGCATCTTATGTTGACAAAGAAATGTATTAAACCGACATTCACCTTGAAGTAAGATACAGGCTTAATCTCTCCCAACCAAACAGCATATCCAGCAGGCAACCTTGGAGCAAAGAGAATGGATTTCCCAGTTGCAATGTCCTTAAAAAAAATGGTCCAAAAAATCAGTTCGACACAACATTTACGTGTAACCCGAAACACCCAACAAAAATAATTTCCCATTCAAGAACAACCCGAATGTCGCAACTCTATGTACTTCCTATAGCTCCATAGAAACCAGGTTCTCTTACTCCAAACTAGTAAGCAAAGTAACTCTCTTGTCTGTAATGGAAAATCAGATCACTAATCAGAAAATAAACAAAAATCATCCATTAATGAAAAAACCATTGATCTTTCTTAACCAAGTCAGATTAAATCATAAGGATTCGACGTAACCTAGGAGCACTGTTCTAAAAATCCCTGCCTAGGCGCTAGGCGGCTGGCCACCGACCCGATTAATGCCTTGGCGTTTGAGGCATCCGCTTAGGTTGCGACTTACTTAGGCAGAAAATATATAACTTTCATTTTGCATTTTATTTTTTTAAATAAATTGTAAGAGACTTATTGAATACTTAAATAAGCACACATTATATGCTTGTTTCCCATGTTTTCATTATGTTTCAATACTTCATAATATATGTGTCATTCTATTTTATAGTTTATGATGAAATTATATATATTATAAGTATAAACATACACTTATTTACATGAAATATAGTGGATTTAGTTAAATCTGACTAGTCCGCCTAGGCACTTGCCTAGACCCCGCCTAGCCATCTAGGCGTTAGGTCCCAGCTCACTGCCTGACTAGCGCCTAACGTTTTTTAGAACCTTACCTAGGAGTGCCGGCTGTCGACTACCTGACACCCTCCCCCTCCTCCTTTATCCGAACTTGGGACTTGCAATGTAAGATGAACTTACATAGGCGGAGTTAACCAAGTTAGATTAAATGGAAAATTTCAATCTCTAATATCAAAATCTAATCACATTGGATAATCACAATTTCCATTTTTACATACTGGGATTCCACAGAATCAAACAACAATTAAACATGCAATGCAAAAACCGAAAACTAAGCTGAAAATTAATGATGATTAGGAGTATAATCAACAATATGAATTATTTCAACTGGGTACCTGAAGAGCTCGGTGTGATCAGTGTCATAGCGACTCTGCTCTTCGCCTCCCTGAAAACAACAAATTGATCAAAACCAAAGTTACCCAAATTTTTTTTATGAAAATATATATTGAATAACGACGAGAAAGTGGGTTACTTGGAGGAAGACGAAGCCGTGGAGGGGGCGGGAAGATTCAGAGAGTTGTCGGCGAAGTGAATTCAGGAGCCTTTCGCGGTTGGTAACGTGGAGCTCCGGCGGGACAGGTGGAGGAGTGAGAGACGACTTCGAAGGATTTGGATCCCATCCAGATTCAAATGGCGGGGATTCTAAGGATTTTCATATTCGTTCATCCTACGTTTGAATTTTTTATTTAAAATTAAATATAAATAGTATCTAACGAAAACTGACCGTACGATATATGATGAATGGTTAAAATATGATGATCCCTAGCTATTTGGATCCGGATGGGATCCTCATCCGACTTGGAAGCCAAGGAAATGGTTTTTTCTTTCCGGGCCAGAAATGGACCCACAGACTAACTTATAGATATGTGAAATGGATTGAAGCCCAAAAGTTTTGTTCCTCCATTTTGGACCTAGACTCAGGCCCATAACAAGCTCAGTAAAACCAATAGAATATTTTGAGGTTTCTACTCTTTTTTTTATTGTACTTTTTTTTTGGTAAACTTTTTTTATTGTACTACAAAATGATGTTACAGGAGTGTTTGAAAATCATTTCATTTACCAACTTTTACTGTTTTTGAAAATTAAAAACATGTGCGAATGATTATATATTTTGCCAATATAGTTGATAACATCCTTGGTTTCTTTCATGTAAGGAGTCACTTCACATTCAATAATGACGTGATAGTATTTCACTGTACAAATGTTATTAAAAAAAAAAAAAAACCGTTATTCTCTTTGTCATCATCTAACAATTATCTCTAGAAAAATTCATTCATTTTAAAGAATTTTTTTTTTCTTTCTTAATAAAAGATTTAGTCATCTATACCTTCTTTCAATTTGTTTGATTTATTGGATGATTAGATGTTCTCAAAATGGATTGAATTGTTCTAGAGATGATATTCAGATAGCAAATTTTTTTTAAAATGTCATATGAGCTTATACAATTTTTTATCATTTTGCCATATAAGCTAATATTTTAAGCAATTTGTCATACTAACTTTCCGAAATCATCTCTGTCATCTCGCCCTAATTTCGTTAAGTTTTTCCTAAAAAAAAAAAATTCACATTCTTTGCACATGATTTGTGTTCAGAGTTATTTTAGATACTTCAATATAAAGAATATCATCCAATTATACAATAGATTGGAGAGTCCCCAATGATTCTGTAATTTTTAGTCATCTTCACTTCAAAACACAGAGAAGCGAGTGCATGTCGTTCCCTTTTGCAAACCTTCAGATTCTTGTATACCAGATCAATCTTCTTTTTGTACCTTTTGAGAAACCCTGGAGTTATTTTGTCAAAGGCAACTTATTAAAGGGGGAGTGAGATGTTGAAATGTCCAAAATAAACCTGAACATAAATCATGTGCCTTGCTCATAATTTATTTTGAATGGAAAACTTAATTAGGGTGAGATGACAAATTAATGATTTCGGAAAGTTGGTATGATAGGTCGCTTAAAATTTTATTTCATGTAACAAATTGAAAAGGTGTATAGGTTCATGACATTTCAAAAATATTCCCTATTCAAATTATGATAAAGAGAATTAACAATTCCACTTATAGCACGTATGGTAAAATGATATGATGCCGTCATTGAAGAGAAAATAACTCTTAATTTACATTTAAAAAACCAAACAAAATCCTATAATATATTCATGAGAATTGTTAAGGGAACTCTCTCAAAAGTAGGACTCACCATGAATTCTCTGTTATCTAACAGTTTAAAACCAATTCTCGTGTCAATGTTACGAATCAAAATGGCAAGAAACATGAAGTTTTCTAAAACAGTGTACGGTTTTCTAAAACAATGGGCTAGATTCCAATATTTTTGGATCTGAAATAGTGCGAAAGAAGGTCTGACTTAAAGTTATTCAGGAATTAGCTAAAAAGTCCCGAAGTCTTGTAGATATTGTAATAAGTATGTATACGTATTCATTTCCATGTATATGCATGTGTTTGAATGCAATTTACGAGGCCTTGCTAGCTAGAATTAGAATATAATTGTACAATTTCATGAGTTCCAATGTAAAGCCCTGTATATATGTATGTATGTATGTATGTATGTATGTATGAGATAAGATGATTGCCAATCAGTTAGCTGATCCTGCGTGGTTGCCTGGTTGGCACGGAGGTGGAGTATGGCTACATGTAAATACGTGCTATTTGTGAATCCGACATATTATGTTGCTAGACTGTTATTTTCAGAACTAGTTTGAAATTGTTTTTGGGAAAATTAAAATGACTTTGAGACAATTATATATGATTTTTGCAACGTATGACTCAAAAAGTTAAAAGTGTTTCTCGATTCTAAAAAAAGCACATATATATTTAGTGTTCTTTGCGATTCGGCAAGAGCTTTTGAATGGATTTTCATAAATTGCTTGGTTTTTTCAAATAAATTTTGTTGTGTTTCTAGCAAATGGGTTATTCTTCGCAAGAATATTCAGTGGTGGAACTAGAATTTCATGTGAGGAGAAGCCTTAGAACACGAAAAATCAAAGGTGCACAAACATTGAAAGACCCATCAAATTCAATATAGAGAACTAAAATATTGTACAAGCTCAAACACTTGGATATGAGGTAAAGAGTTAAGAAAAAAAATCAAGAATATAACGAAAGGACAAGAAAATACAAAGAAAAGTTGACAGCAAAAGGAGGGGACGGGAAGTCTACAATGAAATAAGAGGGAGTGAAAAAATGAGGCATGTAAAGGAAAAAAGAGTTTGGATTGAGAAGGGCATGCGTGAATTTTAATGATATTCAACTGATAAGCAATAGCAGCAACAATATGTTATGGTAGCAAGAAAAAAGACAAGATGGACGCGGGACCATTCTGATCCCTTAGTGGCTCTACCTCTGAGAACATTCTCAAACATGCTACAAGTTAGGTATTTGTTTAAATATATTTTGCCTATAAAATTGAACCATAAGCTCTTCGAATGAAGTATATCGAAAGTGTGACTAGACGGATCATTCAATATTCATGCGTATGATCAAATGTTCATATGCATGTTTAGTATTATCCAATTAAGACTTTAAAACAAAACAAAAATAAATCGTGGTTGGTGCGTCTTATAATTTACAATCATGATAAAGCAATCTTATCTCTAATTAAGCCTCTGTGCATGGAGGTTCTTGGATCACAATTTAGGAATTTAAGAAACTTAAACAATGCACTTATTAGCTATATAAACTTAATTATATACGCGCGGAGTTAGTATTCCACCAATAATATTGAGAAACTCATACGTACAATACAGCCATACACATGCATTTTTTTAGAGAGAGTTTGGGAGGAAAGCACATGGTTGGGAACTTGGGACGCAGAAAATTCTCCACAAAAGGTGATTATTGGTACATATGTAGAGACATTGTTTATAATATAGAATGAGGATCTTCTCCGGATTCTCTTTGTGAGGATCCCAAAGATCTTCAAACCACATTCGTTCATCGTTTATTGTGCGAAAAAAATAATTGTAAATTTTTTTATTTAAAATTAAATATAAGCAATACTTGATGACGAAAACTGACCGTACGATGTATAATGAACGGATGTGATTGGAGAATCCCCGAGATTCTCACAAAGAGGATCCGGCGAGGATCCTCTCTCTAGAATATATATTCAACCATAAACATATAAAAGTTAACAAAAAATATTGCAAGTTGAGGGGAAAATAAAAAAGTCAACAAGGGTTGGTTGAGTAATTGGTAATGATCGTTTACTTCGCTAGACCAAGATCTAAGTTCGAATCTCGTTGTCGACAATCTCTCTTGAAATGCGATTTGTAAAAACAAAAAAAAATAAGCTAAAACCATCACTGGAAGTTCTCAAAAAGACTTATGGTATGCTCTGGTCCTGGAATGATATAGCCTCACCTCTTTCTAACCTTTTTCAGATTTAAAAAAAATCAAATAAAAAACTTTGAATATTATTGGCATTATTTGGAGTCAAAGTCTATGTGGACGATGGTGGATCGCATTTCATGTTGTACAGCCAAAAAGCAAACAACATTAAGAAAATGGGATTATGGCAGTATATATATATATATACACAAAAAGGCATGTATTCTGTACGTACTAAATACAAAGTTGACAATTTATATATATGCAGAAGCACAACATGTATTTTATGTATGCAGGAAATTTCCAAGATAAAACAACCATTCATGGCTTATGGACATGTTCATGGGTAGACACTAGTAAAACACAGTGGCATTCACGAGTCGGGAATGTGTCTCTGAAAGGTCCCAAAACGTGTTGGTACAAACACAGAAGGGTTTTTGAACTTGTGACTTATGTGCTAACACAAAAAAGAGAAGTACTACTCAACCCGTAATTGACCGATAACGAAAAACATCAATTGTCAAAACTTAAACATTGATTTATGCTGTTAAAATCTTCCTACAAACAATGTAGTCGTTAATCGTTATCTATTTCAGCGATAGAGGTAGAGTCAGTAATTAATTATTGATTTATAGGTGACATTCACCTACCCAATAATAATCTATGGTTATCTTCTTTGACATGCTAATGGCATTATTATAATAAACAATCCCAAGTGGCGCACTGTCATTGGTCTTATATCTTCCATCAAGATTTTTGGGGTGTGATAATTGGAAAGAGGATCCTCTCCGCATTCTCTTTGTGAGGATTCTGTGGATCTTCGAATCATGTCCGTTCATCATACATCATGCGGTTAAAAATTATTTTAAATATTTTTATTTAAAATTAAATATATGAATAGTGTCTGACAAAAATTGACCGCACGATATACAATGAACAGACACGATTTGAGGATCCGGAGAGTATCCTCATTCTGATAATTGGCTTACAATTAAACATGCCAACTCCCTTTTTTTTTTTCTTTTTTACAATTTGGAAATTAGCAGGATTATCTCTCCTGCAAATCTCTTTCCTCCTCTTCCCTCCTTTCTCACTTTCCTCTTCGTATTTATCTTCCTACAAAGAAATCAACACAAAATATTTACGTGACTTAATCGTGAGCATTCAAATAGGAGGAGACGGAAGGAGAGGGAAAATAAGAAAGAATCCGGATCCATTTGGGAGACTCCAAATTAATCATACCACTAATTACATAAACAGATGCATATAATATAATGTAGAGATGCACTGGCTTTCAGTGACTCAGTTGCATGTCGTCCTTGTGAGCAACATTAAAAGACAAACATTGGCCCTGTATTCAGAAGATGTTGACACAGTAGCTACTAAAACGATTAAGAATATCTCATCAATCATCCAAGTAATTATAAAACCCCCACAGCATTTTTTTTTTCTTGTTTAATTAATTGATTGATTAAATCAGGGTTAGGGCTACAGTGATTTGAGTTGCTCAATGTAAAGTCAATGATATCCCCCACAGCCTTTTTCCTTGTGTAATAAAGCAATTAATTAAATTAGGGTTAGGGCTACAGTGATGCTGCAAAATGGCCATCTAGGACCGTACAGACTGTGGAGATGTTCCTTGTAAAGCCAATTAGTCTGTCCTTTTCATACGTGTCCTAATTTCTGGTGTGCCTCCATTCTCCATTTCATGACATTTTCCTCAGTTGGAATGCACTTAAAAATGTGAACACTTTCTCAGCAATGCGCTTCTAACAGCTTCTTAATTAGTTCCTAATCCATTAACTTTATAGTTGATAACTTGATGCAAATAAGGGAAAATGATCCTTGCCGGATTCTTTTTTTGGGGATTCCGTGATTGTGACAGTTTATCGTACATCGTGCGGTTAGAAATCATTTAAAATTTAAAATTTAAAATTAAATATAAACAGTACCTAACGAAAATTGATCACACGATATACGATGAACGGTCACGATCACGGGATCCTCATAAAAAGGATTCGGCGAGAATCCTTTTCCCATATAAGAATACAACTTTCACTTCCATACATAAAGCACACATGAAGACTTGAAGTGTTCTAGCTCTTTGCTTCCAAAAATTTTCTTCTTAACATGTCAATAATTTTGTTAATCAATAATTGGTAAAAGACAACCCCACCATCCCTTTTCTCACTTACATATTGAGCATGAATCATGCTCTTGAAAGTTTTCACATAACCTATAGCAATATTTTAGTTCGAATGTAATATTTCTTGTGGTCCTTGAAGGTTCATTTTCTAATTTTTTCTGTTGTACAACCAATAATTTTACCTGCTTTCCAAATCAAAAGCTGATTTGGACTTGAGAAATGCTAAGGGAACTCTCTCAAAAGTGGGAATTTTCATGAACTCTCTATAACCTCACGGTTTAACATCAATGCTCGTGCCAACATTATAAAACATTATGTCAAGAACATGAGGTGACAGATAGTTCATAGAGATTCCTCTTAGCATTTATCTTTGAATTTACTTACAAAGAATAGGAATTATAATTATTATAAATTTCTGAGTTCCAAGCGTTTATTAAAATATGTATTAACTATTTCCTATGTTTTCTAATACATAAAATCAGAAGAGTGTACATTTTCTCTTAAAATCCATAATCAATAGAAGGACTAGTTGATTTGATACCTTTCTTTAATTTCCACTATATTTTAAGTCATTCTTCCATTTCTATTAAGTTAACATATCCAAGATGAAAAGCACATTTCCACTGAAAGAAGTGTAATTACCCATGATCTCAATTAATCTAATTGCCATATGCACATATAATTGAAGCTCCATATCTGCTGTAGCCTTTTTGGTTGATACTTGTCTCTCCCTTACAGGCTGAAGTGGCCGATCGATCTAGTAGTCGTCATCTCATCACTCCATTCACGTTCTCTCTCTGTTGTATGCAATAGGATTCCATCTATTAATTGCAAATCTCATGTTAGCTAGATGTTGAGCTTTTGCACATGTATTTTCACCATATTGAGCCCCAAAAACCAATATTTCCCTTATTGTTTTGCCACTAAAACCATTTTGTCTGCACAAATACACACATAAAGACATGCAGACAAATACATTGTCCTATAAAAAATAACACATACTTCTTTAGATAATTAAATTAGATCATGAGATTATTATTGATTTAAACCTCAAAACCCTAGTTATATATTTTGTTGCTAGGAATTAATACATATGCATGTGTGATGTGTGGGGTCAGCAGATCTTTATGGAGCTTTCAATTATATGCAGTCCTAGCTAATTTGCACACAAATCAGAATCTTAATCTTGTGAAAACTGGTATCTTTGTCCGGCAATCAAACTTAACCACTAGATCTCTTCAAATAATAATTTTTAGGCTTTTCAGCCAAAATGGCTTTTGAGTTGGCATACTTTGGTCCTTGAGATTTAAAATCGATAGAATTGGTCCCTAATTTTGTAACCCTCAATCATTTTGGTCATTCCGTGAAAAAAAAAATCTTTTAAATAAGGAAAAAATGACAAAAATGCTCTTAATTTTTTGTCTAATCATTTTGGTCCTATTTAACAAAGATTTTTTCATGGAATGACCAAAACGATTGATGGTGGGCAAACTCAGTAATCGCTTCTATCGATTTCAAATCTCATGGATCAAAGTGAAGAGTTATGCCAATCTCATAAACTATTTTGACTAAAATACCTAATTTTTGCAAGCATTTTAATTTCAAGCATCATTTGGGATTAGGGTTTGCTCAACAAGGATTTGATTTGTCATATAGGTTGGGAAGTGTACATTAGGATTTGTAGAGAGAGAGAGAGAAACCTAACCATATATTCTGTCTAATCTTAATCTGATTTTAGGAAGATTAAGATATAAGAATGCTTTGAGAGCATAGCATAAAATTATTGACAGTTGTTGGGTACATGTAGGTGATGAGATAAAAACTACTTTGATGTATGTAAAATGCCAGCTTTGATATACTCTTGCTTATGTCACAGAATCAATGATTGATTCTTATTCTTTCTGCTTATTTCTCAATAAAACAGGCAAGTTGAGAGGAAATTTTTTGTTCATTATTTTTTTATGCCATTGCTCTCCAAACTGTTCCTATATATAAGTGGGTGAATTCAAAGGTTTTTCATTCAAACCATTCTCATTCAACGCTTTTCTCTCTCTCTCTCTCTCTCTCTCTCTCTCTCATAACTACAGCTTTCTTGAAGGCCAAAGTGCTTTTATAAGAAAGCTACATATGGCTATAGAGATTGAACAGCAGCAGCCTTCTGTTGGGCTATCAAAAATAGCTGTTTCTGATACTCATGGAGAAGACTCTCCATACTTTGCAGGATGGAAAGCTTATGATGAAAACCCTTATCATGAATCAAGCAATCCATCTGGAGTCATACAGATGGGACTAGCTGAAAATCAAGTAAGTGCTTCTCATGATCACAAATGATCATTTGTCAACAAAACACAGAAGAAAAAAATCTGAATACTTCTAGAATTTTCGTCTAATATTAACTTTTTTTGTTGAACAGGTTTCGTTTGATCTGTTGGAAAAGTACTTGGAAGAAAATTCAGAAGCCTCCAACTTGGGTTCAAAGGGATCAAAAGGAGTGTCTGGCTTTAGAGAAAATGCCTTGTTTCAAGACTACCATGGCCTTTTGTCTTTTAGAAAGGCAATGGCCAGTTTTATGGAACAAATTAGAGGAGGAAGAGCGAAATTTGACCCTGCTAGAGTAGTCTTAACAGCAGGTGCAACCGCAGCTAATGAGCTGTTGACTTTCATCATAGCTGATCCTGGTGATGCTTTGCTTGTTCCAACACCATACTATCCGGGGTAAGAATACTCCTCCATCACCCAAACTTAAGGACTTTGGAAGTTACAGAAATATTCTCTTGTCAGACAGTCTGGCATGTTTTTCTTTTTCAAAATGTTTACGCGGAACATTTCTTAAGTGTTCTCATTTTAACCGCATGACGTCAGAATGAGTCTGGACATAACATGCCATCTGACAAGAGAATGTTATCATCCGGAAGTTATATTATTTCGTGCAATTTTTTGTGACTTTTTTTTTTTTCTTTTTCATATTGATCATCAAAAACTAATGTCAACTTAAATTTTCTTCTTCAGATTTGATAGAGATTTGAGGTGGAGGACTGGTGTGAACATTGTGCCAATCCACTGTGAAAGCTCAAACAACTTCCAGATTACTCCAGAAGCGTTAGAAGCTGCACACAAAGAGGCAGAAGCCAAGAACATGAGAGTGAGAGGGGTACTAATCACAAATCCATCAAACCCACTTGGTGCAACAATCCAAAGAGCAGTCCTTGAACAGATTCTTGAATTCGTCACTAAAAAAAACATCCATCTCGTTTCTGATGAAATCTACTCGGGATCCGCCTTCTCATCCTCTGAATTCATTAGTGTGGCAGAAATTCTTGAAGACAGGCAGTACAAGGATGCAGAAAGAGTCCACATTGTTTATAGTCTATCCAAAGATCTTGGCCTTCCTGGTTTTCGAGTTGGCACCGTGTACTCTTACAATGATAAGGTTGTGACAACAGCAAGAAGGATGTCAAGCTTCACCCTAATATCTTCTCAAACACAACATCTCTTGGCTTCCATGTTATCTGACAAGGAATTCACTGAAAATTACATAAAGACAAACAGAGAGAGACTGAGGAAGAGATATGATATGATCATCGAGGGTTTGAAGAAATCGGGGATCGAGTGTTTGAAAGGAAATGCTGGGTTGTTTTGCTGGATGAATTTAAGTCCATTTTTGGATGAACCAACAAGAAAAGGTGAACTGACCCTCTGGGATTCCATGCTGCATGAAGTGAAGCTAAATATATCTCCAGGTTCTTCTTGTCATTGCTCTGAGCCAGGTTGGTTCAGGGTGTGCTTTGCCAACATGAGTGAGCAGACACTTGAGATTGCATTGACAAGAATACATAATTTCATGGATTATAAAAAGAGGGCTAGCTAAAATTATAATTTATTTCTCTTTTATCTTCCTTTTTTTCAGTGGTTCTAACCATTTTTTATTATTGTGGAGGACAAAACCCAATTTAAGAATTGGATTTGTCTCTCTACATATATATATATATATATATATACACACATACACACTGTAGATTTGATTAAATTGTGTAACAACTCCATCTTGTTTTCTTGCTTGAAAAGGCAAGTTTTACACATTCAACTTGTATAATCGACGGATATATATTTTTATTTATTTTTGGCATTCTACTCATTTTACCTTTGACTTGTCTTGCAATCAACTGCGAAAGACTGGAGTATTAGTATATTAATGTTGGGAGATAACGTACAGCTATAGACTAATTAAGGAAGAAGAAGAGCAACTAAATAGGTAGATTACAAAAAAAAAAACTCTCGTTAAGTGGAAGAGTAGGTTTCACAAAAATATCCTTAAAAAGGTGGTTGCGTGACAATTAAATTAGAATATTGACAGAGTTGTCATGGAATGACTAAAATCATTTATGGTGGATAAACTCAGATACCACTTCTATCGATTTTTATTGTCAGGAACCAAAGTTACTTCAATCTCAAAGACGATTTTCTCTAAAAAAAAAAATCCAAAACTAAATTGTAAACTTTTTCAACAATTAAGCCATATACAATTACTTCAAACCCTATATTATATTGGATATGAGGTTGAATTTCCAACCTTTGACAATTTTAAGCTGAGTTTGACGTTGCATGTCATGCTCATAAAACCTGGCATGATTAAGATGTGTTAGTTAATTCAGATATGGTTTGCTTAATATAAGCATTTTGCACAGCTTTACGCCAAATGTTAGTACTCCATCACACGAAAGAGATACCATTTGATACACAGCAGGCCCAGAATATAGTAATAATCGACGACAATAGTTAATGAAAAATGTGAACAGTAATAAACACCCATTTGAGAGAGAGATGCTTAATTTGGTTGAACTCAAGGATCCATTTGATGTTGATCCGAGTTTGATGGTTGTTATTGTGAGCAACTATAAGACCGCAAGCTTGTGCCATAACATAACATTCATCGTGGACCCTGTTATAACAATGTAATAATTTTTAATAAAAAGGAATAATCAAGAGGTGATGCATATCGAGTGGAGGGTAGTTTTAAGCATATCTTAACGCGTACAGTTTTTTTTTTTTTTGTTTTTTTTTTTTTTTTGGGACAAATGATAAGATGATTATATTGAATCTGTCAAACTTGGATGCAGAGAGGATGAAATTAACAAACAGCTGCTTAGTTAACTTGGCTAAACCCATACTATTTAGCACCATGTGACTTTGACAATTCTTTATATAACTTCCAATAAATAACAACATCTTAAGTGAACATTCAGTCGATTTGTCGTTGATTTTCAGACATTAGCCAATAAAACTTACTTTTGTTGTAAACTTATTAGCTAATTAATTTTCTTAATCAATAATAAAGAAGGCTAAGTATTTCAATAAGTCAACTCCATATACAATCATTTATATGTATTTTATCAGTACAAACTCTCAACTAGTGCAGCTAAGTAAGCTAGCTAGCTATCGGGATAATGAAATAACATTTTTTATATTTTCATATATGCATGGGAACAAACGTATCAAACCACATCACTTGGCGGCAATTTACCTTTTGTTTATCTTTTTTTTTTTTTTTTTTGTTTTTTGAGTTCGGCGGCAATTTACTAATTCAATTCCTTAATCTAATATAAAACTCAGTAACTTCAGTTAAGCCAAACTACTAAACCAAGGCTGTTTTTTAAAATTTAAAGGTTAAGGGCGACCCAAATGTGGCATTAATAGAGTAATTTTTTTTTTTAATTTTACCAATACAAAAAAGGACTTGCACATAAAGCAGAAACGCTAATTTGGCGATTTGCTCGTCGTATCTTGTGGTGCCATGTGACAAAGATAAAACACATGGTAAATAGCATGATAATTAGTTTGAGATACTGGTGCCACATTGATGTCCCTTTTTTATATAGATACTCTTTTGTTTATGGTACTGCTAAAGGCCACGTATAATTTGACTACGCTTTTATTCTTTTCTATAATGTTATGAACCCAGGTGGCCATCTATGAAAACAAATTATCAATAACAACTTATGCTAGTTTGAGCTCTAATATGACTACCATTGACTGTCAAATAATTTCATATTTAAGTGATTTTCTAAAAACTGAATCTTTAAGAGAAAATCTAAAAGATAAATAGTTAGATCGTTGGAACACGATCTAAAGTGGGCCTTACAATAGATCCTTAACAGAAGAAGACTTTTATATATACAACCTACATTGGTGGGAAATCCATAATTTTGTGAGTCACAGATTATCAAGTAATTAGAGAAAGTTTAAAGAAGATAGTAAAAGCAATTTCCTCAAATATTTGAACTTTACAAAAGTTGGTTAATTTGGAAAAAGGTTACGATGCACACTGTGGACAATATGCAAATGTTTGAGAAATGTACAATAATTGAGATAATTGTCTCTCTTTATATTGGACTTCTTAACTACTTACTACATTAGACATATATATGTGTATATATATGTATGTATGTATGTAAATGCATGCAAGCATGTGTTTCAACTCAATTTTCGAGGTCTTATTAGAATATAACATATAACATTTCATGAGTTCCCATGCATGTAAACTAAGACATGTCTGAATAAATGATAGTTATGCGCATGCAGTTGAGGAGGTGCGGTTGCTTGGCTGGCAAGTAGGTGGAGTATACAATTCGATTATTAGAATTTAAAAAATGGAATAAATATAATTTACAGAGGAAATCATGATGTTGTGTGACTCAATGTTTGCCTTACAATAATCTTTGATTAAGCAATCTAATTACAGTGAAGCCCGTGTGCGTGAAGGTCATCATCTTGGATCACACTTCGAAGTTCAAACTTGGACTATATATATATTCAATTATTTGATATAGTCATCTATTTATTATGAAAAGCATACACACAAATGCATGTCATATCACACACTATTTTTTTCCTCCTAGACACCTCTCTTGACTTATGGCCGTCAAATTAAATAAATCAAACAACAAAAAAAATGTCATTATTACTTTCCTATATAACTAAGGAAAAAACAAACAAATACATTCATTTACTTGAGAAGAGTAAAAGGTACATGGTTAAGACTAGGGTAGTCTTTGAAATTTCAAAGGTCATGTGCGAAACTTATAAAAGGGTTCCTCCCTAAGCCCCTCCTTAAGATAGTTTTTCAAAAAAAGTAGGACAATGCATTGATGCTTGAAAGCAATAACTTAAATCGAAATAAACTTTAGAACTCATTGGTAGTAAGTTTACAAAATGTCATTAAATAATAAGTAAAAAGAGCTACAAACATAACATTCACTAAATAATCAAAAGTAATTCAATATATCTTAAACAACCAAACAAGAAAAAAAAAAACTTCAAAAATTCTAACTTTAAAGTTGATAGCATTATTATATAATAAAATTTTAAAAAAAAAACATCTTTTAAAGTGTTGTTATGGCACTCCAAATATCTCATTGTGCACTCCAAATTTTTATAGAAAGAAAAAAAATTACACTTATAACGAGTGCACAATGAGACTTTAAAGTGCTAATAAAAGCAATTTATTATAATATAGAGCATTATTAATTACATATATATGTTACATGGCAAAAAATTTTGCAGTGCCTTTCAAATTTGGAACCCTCTGCAATTGCAACTTTCGCTCCCCAAAGCTGTCTGTGGTTAAGACAAAAAAATCTCCACTAAAAAGGTCATTCTTGTCACATATGCATGCAGAAAAATAATTTACTTTGAACATATTCAATAATAGATACAAGTGGGGTGAAAAAAAATTATGCAGAAAGGAAAGGAAAAATAAATTGAATTCTTGATGGCTATGATGCATTACTGGGAGTCAACGTCTGTGTGGACGCTAAAAAAAATGCAGAAAGGAAACATAAATTGAATTCTTGATGGCTATGATGCACTACTGGGAGTCAAAGTCTGTGTGGACGCTAAAAAAAATATGCAGAAAGGAAACATAAATTGAATTCTTGATGGCTATGATGCATTACTGGGAGTCAAAGTCTGTGTGGATGCTAGTGGATCACATTTTATGGTTTACAACCAGGGCAAACAACATTAAGAAAATATATAGAAAACTACAGAATGTAAGGCTGATCGCATTTTCTGCAGAACCATGAAGCAATTAATTAAGATAATACAGAAAATTAGTGCATGTTTTTTTCTGCAGACATTAGTAAACACGGTTTTGCCCAAGTTGGGATTATGTCTCAAAAGGAAATCATATGGGGTTCACAAAACGTGTCCATAGAAAGACGCATAATTGGAATCACTAATTAATATATTAAATAAGTAATTAAGTTTTGGTTATTTTTGTGCTTGTTGTAAATTAAGTACAAAACCCTAATACGCACCAGTTCAGCAATTCAACCTACCCAGTATTCTACACCTCTCTCTCTCTCTCTCTCTCGGGCATGGTCTTAGCTAGCAAGATTATAATAAAGAATTCCACGCCAAGTGGCACAATGTCATTGGTTTTATATCTTCCATGAAGATATTTGGTCTTTGATTAGGTTACAAACACCAGCTCCATCTTTCCCTTTTACATTAATTTGCAGGAAACCAGCCCTCATTTGATTGCCTCATTGGATCATATGTGATATTGTGATTCACCCTCTTCCTATGAATATTTTTTTTTTTTTGAAATATATTATGAAATCATCAGAGAGAAGAAAATGTGGACCTTTTCTTACCACAAATTACAAGATTTTGGAATATTAGATTTTCCATATTTAGTCCCAAATGCATGCATTCTTATGCTTTAACTAATTAATGAGAATCGTCTCAATGTCAATGGAGATAGATACTGTATAAGAATTTGTATAAAATACAAAAATAGCACCTATCCAAATCTGCTGAGAACCGACCATTTTGAAAATTGATACAGTTTCCAACTCATACGATCTTCAAGGTCACTTTTGCTAGCTGAACAAA